ACATCACACTTATCAGATTGGCCAACATGACAAAACAGGAAAATGATAAATGTTGGAGAAAATGTGGGAAAATTGGAACACTAATACATTGTTGGTGGAGTTGTGAAATGATCCAACCATTTTGGAGAACAATTTGGAACTATGCCCAAAGGGCTACAAAAATGTGCACACCCTTTGATCCAGCAATAGCACTTCTAGGGCTATATCCCAAAGAGATCAAACAAATGGGAAAAGGACCCACATGTACAAAAATATTCATAGCAGCTCTCTTTGTGGTGGCCAAGAATTAGAAATTGAGGGGATGCCCATCCATTGGGGAATGGCTGAGCAAGTTTTGGTATATGAATGTAATGGAATACTATTGTGCTATAAGAAATGATGAACAGGTGGACTTCAGAAAAACCAGGAAAGACTTATATGAACTGATGCTGAGTGAAGTGAACAGAACCAGGAGAACATTATACACAGCAACAGCAATGTTGTGCAATGATCAACTATGATGGAATTAGCTCTTCTCAGCAATATGATGATCCAAGACAGTTTCGAAAGACTCATGATGGAAAACGCTGTCCACATTCAGAGAAAGAACTATGGAGTCTAAATGCAGATTGAAGCACACTATTTTCACTTTTTTTTTCTTTCTCGTGTTTTTTTCCCCTTTCATTCTGATTCATCTTTCACAACATGAGAAATATGTTTAACAAGATTGTACATGTATAACCTATATCAGATTGCTTGCTGTCTTGGGGAGGGAGAGGGGAAAGAGGGGAAGGGAAGGGAGAAAAATTTAGAACTCAAAATCTTATAAAAATGAAAACTATTTTTATATGTAATTGTAAAAAATAAAATACTATCAAGTGAGAAAAATCATACTTTAGCACAATGCCTGGCACATAGCAAATTAATGAAAAACACGTTAAACAAAGCACTCATTTTTTTTAGACGTTGATAATAGAAGAAATGAACTGCACCAATACAAGATGGAAGGAGTGGCTCAGTGATAGTTTATCATGGATCATAAATTCAGAACTGGAAGAGATATTAGAAATCATCTGGTAATAGTAGTGCTTTAAGGTTTTCAGAGTACTTTACAAACATTATTATATCCTTATTACAAAGAAGGAAAGGAAAGAAGCAACCACTGAATTTATCAAGTGCCTACTATGTGCTAGGCACTGTGCTAAGCATTTGACAATTATTATCTCACTTGATCCTCATAACACTTTACAGATGAAGAAATGAGGCAGACAGATTATGTGACTTGCCGAAGGATCACATAGCTGATAAGTATCTGAGGACAGACTTGAACTCAGGTCTTCCTGAATCCTACTCCAATGCTCTATCCACTGTGCCACCTGGCTGCTTAATCTCAGTCGTTTAATCCAAACAAACGAATACCATATGGAGAGATATACACACATGTTTGCTTTCTGCCTAACACCCAACCATTCAATTCCTCAATGGTCACACCCCTGATGTTGCCATTACCCACAAATACACCACCTCCATATTGCCAATTGTGCCCCACCAAACCTTGGATCACTCCCATCATCTGTTGCCTTCGCTTCTGTCCATGTGCTGCTGAACAAAGGTGAAGAGAATGAGCACACTAAATCCTTCTATACCTTTCTTATCGGCTCATTATCCCATTGGCCATAGCAGCTCTTCCAAATTTTTCATCCCTTTTTAAGCCTCTCTCCCTCCATCCTCTTAGCTGAGAATCTTGCCTTATATTTTACCAAAAAAATGAGGCCATCTGCTGTGAGCTCCCTCTTCTCCCCTCTTCTTCATCCCATATCACTTAGATAACTTTTGCCACCATCTCCTTCTTCACCTTTGTCTCACATTAAGTGGTGGCCTTATTCCTTACCAAGACAAACCCCTCACCTTGCACAAATGATCCCATTCTTTCCTGTCTCTTCAACCATTGCTCCCTCAGTCATCCCCACTCTTTCACTTATCTTCAATCTCTCCTTGTCTACTGACTCATTTCCTAATGCCTACAAACATGCCCATGTCCTTCCTAGCCTCAAAAAACCCTACTTGGTCCTTCCATCCCTTCCAACTATTATCTTCTCTCTTCTGCCTCTTACTCTTAACCCCTTACAATTAATTCTGCTTTTGACCTTATCTATCACTCCATTGAAACCACTCCAAAGTTACCAATGACCTCTTAGTTGCCAAATCCGATGGCTTTTCTCAGTCCTCATTCTTCTTGATCTCTCTGCAGCCTTTGATGCTCACTGGTTGATTCCCTCTTGAAATTCTCTTCTCTCTAGGTTTTTAGGACACTAATTTCTCTTTGCTCTCCTTCCCAAACCCTCTTATTTCTAGTGCCAACCCTCTGTTAATTATCTTCTATTTATCTTGTATATAGCTCATTTGTACATATTTGTTTGCCTGTTGTCTCTCCCCCTTAGACTGTAAGCTCCTTGAAGGCAGGAACTGCTTTTTGCCTCTTCTGGTATCCCCAGCACTTAGCACAGTGCCTGGTGCATAGGAGACCCTTAATAAATGTTTATTGACTGACTGACTGAGGCAAGTGAAGAACATATAACATTTTTCCAGCCTTCATTTGGACTTAAAACAAAAATTTATCATGTATTGGGGCCCAAAGAAGGCAGAGATAAATACGGAAAAGAAGTACTATATAGAATATCTACAAGCCAGAATGCAATAAAACTAGTTGTAAATAATGATGCAATGAATAAAAGGTATAGGAACTCACAGATACTAAACAAATGACATTAGATAACTGCATGAAAAAAGAAATTATAAGAACAACAGTAGGTCACATCAGAGATGATAAGATAATACATATCAAAATAGATATGTGTTTATGGTTTGCCAACAAAGGACTATAAATGTTGAGAGAAAATTAAAGAGTTAGGTCTGTACCTAGTATATTTAGAAAAGCATCAGAACAACAAAGAAAAAAAGAAAAATGGTCAAGATCAGATGAGAGATCAATAAAAATTAAAATAATTGTAATGATACATAAATATAAGAGCTGTTTTTGAAATGCTAAAATAGATCTGTGATCTTATCAATATGTGTATTCTGTCCAACAATTCAGCCATCCATGGCCTACTAGTCAAGTTGTGCCATATGGCCTCTGAAGTCCTTGTGACTCTATGATTGATCAGTCATTCAATAATCATTTATTAAATACCTATTAGGGACTAGGCACCCACTTTTGTTTAGAATCAAACAATTGATTATAAATGGAATTGCCCAAGGTCATATTGGTAATAACCACTAGGACTAACACTTGAATATGTTTTCTTTTCATTGCACCTCACTGCCACTAAAGATGGAAGGTCACCTGGGACTGGACTGCCAATAACCTCCCATGGGCTAGCCCTGACCTGCATCCATTCATATTGAATCTGACCCAACATATTACTAATATTGGCTTGGTTGCAAGCAGTGATGCAAAGGAAATCATTCTGGATCGGTATGACCAGAAGAGGCAGACTAATTATGTAGGGGAATGAGGAATAGCAGATGGACAGCCTGAATGTAGCTGTGGTATCTACAGCACACAGTAGGTGCTTAATAAATGTTTGTTGATGGATTGATCCATGAAATTTTAAAAGATACCAAGGAAACCCTTCAGCATGTTAAGCAGAAGATCTCCTGCTGTCCCAGGCTATGGAAGATGTATGTCATTCTCATAAATTTAACATGCCTCTGGGGCATGGGAGAGGATATGGGGTACTTGTTAGAGAGTGGGATGATGGGATCACAGTTAGAATGGACCTAATCAGCCAGCTAATCCAATCCTAGAATACCCTCTACAACATATCCAATGAGTGGTCATATAACCTCTACTTGAAAAACTTTAATGAAGTGGAACCCATTACTTCTGGAGTACCCAACTCTACTTTTGGACAAGTTAGGAAGGAGCCTTAGAACACAGAATGGCAGAGTTGGATGAGCTGGTCGTAAGGTCATAGAATAATAGATTCAGAGCTGGAAGGGACCCTCGAGGCCCTTCAGTCCAACTTCCTCATTTTATGGTTGAAGAAACTGAGGCTCAAGAGAGGTTTAATGACTTGTTCAAGATCATACAGACATAAAGTAACCAGGATTTGAACCCTTGTTCTCTGACTCCAAATATATCACTCTTTCTATTGTTTAGTCCCATTTCATCATTTCAGAGAGAAGGAAACCAAAGCCTAAGTCTTCTGACTCTGAATACTGTATAGGGTATCCATATCTCGAACCTGAATCAATGGGCTAGGTCTCAAAGTGAATTAGACCTGGAGTTGGGAAAACCCTCCAAGTTTAAATGCTGGCTCAGATATTTACCAGCTATGTGACCCTGGATAAGTCACTTAACGGCTATTTGCCTCAACTTCCTCATCTGTAAAATGGGGATATTAGCACCTCCCTCTCAGGGTTGCTGTGAGGACAAAATAACATTTGTAAAGCACTTACAACGCTATAGAAATATTAGCTATTATTATGTAAGAGGAACTTCATGGCTAGAATTTTTCCAACTTTATGGGAAGAGAAACTGAGATTCTGGTAGTAAAGTAGAAAAGGGAAGAAAGCCAAAGGGGAGAGGCTTCCCTGGGCCTGAATTTGGAGCCTAAGGACTTCTGTTTGAAGTGACTCTGATATTCAATACTTGCTGACCTTGGGAAAGTCACTTGCCCTCTCTGTGCCTCTGTTACCTCCTCTGTAAAATGAGGTTGGACTAGGTGGGGGTGGGGAACCCGCAGCCTCGAGGCCACATGTGGCCCTCTAGGTCCTTAAGTGCAACCCTTTGACACAATCCAAGTTTCACGGAACTAATGCTTTTATTACGAGGATTTGTTTTGTGAAGTTTGGATTCGGTCAAACGCAGCTCTCTCCTGCTCCCTCCCTCTGTCCGTCTCCCCCTTAGCTCCGCCTTTTTCTGGTCACGTGCGCCCATTCCCTTTCCAGTGACAGCTGGTTTGACCCCTCGGCGGCCGCCGTAGTGCTTCGCCGTCGTTGCCAAGGAAACTCTGACCCCGCCGGAAGCACTTATTCCGGCCAGCCGTGCGGGGAGACTCGTTTCCCGCCGGCGGGAGCTGTGGCTGTCGTGGTGTCTGCTGCTGCGGCGTGAAGAGAAGGCGTTGGGGACTGTCGCGCCCCGCGCCATGGCGGACCAGCTCTACCTGGAGAACATTGACGAGTTCGTCACGGACCAGAACAAGATCGTGAGGAGCCCCGGGGCCGGGACGGAGGGAGGGGAGGGGCGTCTGCCTTGGGGCGGTGCGCCGGCACCTCGGCCGGGAGGGGCAGGAAGAGGTAGAGAGCAGAGGTGGCCTGCGGTGGGCTTCGAGGAAACGGGCCGGCGCGGCCTGAGCTTGTGCCCCCGAATCTTCGTGCTCTCGGCCGGGGTTACAGGCCTCCCTCTGGGATTGAGAGTGGAGGAAGTGGAGCGGAGGAGCTTGGGACCACCCACGGCGGAGGGGGGGGCTGTGACAGGGAGAGAGTGGGGAAGGGGACACGAAGAGTCTAGGTCTGTTGCTCCTAGAATAAAATATCAATTTGTCTTTCTAAGGCATTTCGCAGTCCAGTCTGACTCCAGCCTACCTCTCCTGGCTTTAATGCTATGTCCAGTGGCTTCTCTTTCGACTCTCTTCCATTCCAGCCCTACTGACCTGCTTGCTTTGCTCTCCCTGCAAAGAGCTTTTGCGCAGGCTGTCCAGCATGCCTAAAATGCCCTCCCTCCTTACCTCTTTGTCTCTTAGAATACTTTGGACTTCATCTCGTCTCCACTCTAGTGCTATCTCAGGTCAGCAGTCAAGTCAGCCTGCATTTATTAAGCACTTGCCACATGCCAGGCACTGTGCTAAGCGCTGGGGGTTCGGAGAAAGGCAAAAAGAAGCTGATGCTCTCAGGGAGCTCATAGTCTAATGGAGAAGACAGCACGCAAACAACTATATATATATATATATATATATATATATGTATATATATATATGTATATATATATATATATACATATATATATATATACAGTATGTAGACATGAGAATTGGAGATAATCATCACAAAGGAAGCTCTAGAACCTAGTCATGAAACAGGAGGAATAAGGGCAAAGGAGCAGTAATTGAACCATTTTTTTTTTTTGGACCAGACTTGTGATTTCATTGGCATGAGTTCACTCTTAGCCGTTCAGATCTGTAGCTCCTCTACAACGTATAGTGTTAAGAGATTGTACTTTGCCCTAGAGTTACACAGACCTCTCTGTGTCGGAGGCAGGACCTGAAGTCAGATCTTCCTCACCCTGAGACTGCCTGTAGCCACTACTCCACTCCTGTTTTGCATGGGGTATAATAATGTAATACTCTGTCTGATTGTGAGACTTTATGGAATGGATTTTGAATAGAAAGCACAGCTTATTTCTACTCAGCTGGTATTCAAGGCCAGCTACATTGCGATAAAAATGAAAGGAGTCTATATGTATAGACTATCTTATTTCTTCTGCCCTTTGCAGCTAAACTCCTCAAAAAGGCTATTAGAATGGGTGCCTCCACTTTCTCTCTTCTCACTCTGTTACAGTCTAGCTTCTGACTTTATCATTCCACCATAATTGCTTTCTCCAAAGTTACTAATGATCTCTTAGTTACCAAATCCAATGTCCTTTTCTCAAACCTCATCCTTCTTGACCTTTTTCCAGCCGTTGACACTATGGATCATCCTCTCCTTTTTGATACTCTCTTCTCCCTAGGTTTTCAAGATACCACTCTCTCTTCTGGCTGTTATCTGACTTACTTATCTGACAACTCCTTTTCTGTCTTCTTTGCTGAGTCCTCCTTCAGATCATGTCCTCTAACCAAAAGTGTTTCACAGGATTCTATCCTGGGCCCTCATCTCTTCTTTGTCTATACTGTTTCTCATGATAATCTCATTAGCTTAATTACTCTCTCTATGTTGACAATTCTCAAATCTGCCTTTTCTGCCCCAACCTCTCTGCTGACTTCCAGTTTCACATCTCCAAATGCCTTTCGTACATCTTGAAATGAATGTCCAGTAGACGTCTTAAACTCAGCTCATCCAAAACAGAATTCATGCTCTTTCCCCCAAGTACCTCCCTTTCACTTACCTTCCCTATTATTGTAGAGGGAAATAACGTCTTTCTTTTTTTTTTCTTAAAAGTATTTTTTTTCCAATTACATGTAAAGATAGTTTTCAACATTCACTTTTGTAAAATTTTGAGTTCCAAATTTTTCTCCTTCCCCTCCTCTCCTCCTCCTTCCCCAAGACAGCAAGCAATCTGATATAGGTTATATGTGTACAATCACATTAAGCATATTTCCATGTCAGTCATGTTGTGAAAGAAGAATCAGAACGAAAGGGAAAAACTACAAGAAAAAGTGAAAATAGTATGCTTTGATCTGCATTCGGACTCTGGATGTGGATAGCATTTTCCATCATAAATCTTTTGGAATTGTCTTAGATCGTTGTATTGCTGAGGAGAGCTAAGTCTATCAGAGTTGGTCATCACACAATGTTTCTGTTGCTGTGTACAATGAATAACGTCTTTCTAATACTTCTGGCTCACAGCCTAGGAGCAGTCCTGGATTCCTCACTATCTCTCGTCCTCCCATATGCAAGACCTGTCTATTTTACCTTTGCAACATTTCTCACATACTCTCTCCTTCTCTCCTCTGCCACTGCCACCATTGGGATGCAGGCCTTCATCACCTGGAAGTGCAGTAGCCTGATAGGTGGATCTGTCTGCTTCAAATCTTTTCCCTCCTCCAAGTCACCTGCTGTTCAGACGCTAAAGAGATTTTCCTATAGTTCAGTGACACCTTTGTCACCCCTCCTACTCCAACTTCAGTTGCTCCTTATTACCTCCATGATCAAATACAAAATCCCCTATTAAAAATCCTGCATACCTAACTCCCTTCTACCTTTCCAGTTTTTTTAAACCTTATTCCTCACCACATATTCTTCTATCTAATGACAGGAGGTCTGTTTTTCATCTCCAGACCCAGGCATTTTCTCTGGCCTGGAAGATTTTCTCCTAGTCTCTGTCAGCTGGCCTCCCTGGTTTGCCTCAAGTCCCAATTAAAACCTTGCCTTCTGTAGGAAGCCTTTTCCAACCCGTCTTAATTCTAGTGCCTTTCCTCTTTTAATTATTTCCTATTTTTCCTGAATATGGTTGGATACATATCCTGAATATTTTGTTGTTCAGTTGTTTCAATCATGTCTGCCTTTTCATGATTTCATTTGAGTTTTCATGGCAAAGATACTGGAGTGGTTTGCCATGTCCTTCTCTAACTCAGGTAAACTGAGGTAAACAGGGTTAAGTGACATGCCCAGGGTCACACAGCTATTAAGTGTCTGAGGCAGGATTTGAACTTGGGAAGATTCTTGACTTCAGGTCTGACACTCTATCCACAGTGCTACCTAGCTGCCCCATCTCGGAGGATATCCTGAATGTATGTATGTATGTATGTATGTATGTATGTTATGTATGTATGTATGTATGTTATGTATGTATGTATGTATTATGTATGTGTGTGTGTACACAAACACATATACACATATATGTATATAAATATGTATATATTCCTGTATATCCTGAATATAGTATTTGTTGTTATATTTTCTCCCCCTTTAGATTGTAAGCTCTTTGAAGGCAAGGAATGTCTTTCATCTCTTTCTTCCCCAGCACTTAGGCATAGTGACATGTAATAGTCATTTAATAAATGTTTATTGATTGCTATTACTTAATAGTAGTTCATGTATCTTTAAATCTTCTAATTGATCTGTGATCTTACCTGCTTAGGAGTTGTGTCCAACTAGGCAGATTATAATCTATCTATGCCTTTCCATTCTGTGCTGTTGTTATCCATGTTCTTCAGAAAGCTCAGCAGAGGGCATCCACCAGTTTGCAGGAGGCCCTCTTCATTTTCTCTTTTGCATTAGCACTTTATGGGTGTCATCAGAATGAATGTTAAATGAATGTTGGAATCTGGGAGGTAGACATTCTTCATCTTGAACACTTGGTCTTTCTGGTGTAGATGGACAGAAAGCGGACTGGGCTTCATCTTAGCTAAGTGATTATTATGATAGATGTCATTTTTTCTGTTTTCCTTCTCTCACTTCTGATTTTTAATAGCATATTTAAACAATTAAGCTTGAATCTTCTTAAATGTTTTTTTTGTGAAAATCAAATTTTAAGGTAATATTTGTAAAATGCTTACTACAGTACTTTCTATAGCACATGCTATAGAAATGATAGCTATTATTATTATTATTATTATTATAGTCTTTCTTTTTATTATAAATTCTTACTTTAGCTCTTACAGGAAGATGGTCTGACCATGCATAGACAGCTGACAAGAATAATGTCCACATCCATAATAAATCTTTTTCTCTCTGTTAAAATGTATTCAATTTCATTCTTTCTGATATTTGGTGCTTATCATTATCCACATCCTGCCATTTCTTTTTCTGAAGACAGGTTTCATGATGTAGAGGCATGAAGCTTCTCTATAATCTGAAATTCTTTGACTTTTCCTGAAGCATGCTTTATTACATATTTTTCCCCATCCTTACCTTTTCTTGCCTTTGCATTGAAATCATCAGATATCAAGAGTGTATGCTGCTTTAATTTGGAGGATCAAGTTCTTCTGGGAATTTCTCTACTACTTCCCTAGTGACTGATGTTGATGCATAAGCTGCAATTGTTTTCATTGTGGGCTTTTTGCAAATGCTTGTCATAGTACAACACATGATGACTATAAGTCTCAAGCCATACTATTTCTTGTAGCTTTGGGGTATAAAATAATAATTACAGCTCACATTTATGCAGTGCTTTATGGTTTGCTAAGTGCTATGTTATCTCATTTCATCCTTGAAACAACCCTGTGAGAGGTAGAGGTGGTTATTATTCCCTTTTATAGGTAAGGAAACTGAGGCTTGAGTGAGGTTAAGTGACTTGCCCAGGTTCACAGCTGTTGAGTGTCTGAGGTAGGGTTTGAATTTGGGTCTTCTTGATTCCAGATTTAGCACTCTGTCCCCAGCATCACCCAGCTGTGATGAAACCTAGTCTGCTTTCTCCTTTGTTGGCCTCTCCCAGGAATGTTTGTGAGCCATTTTCCCAATTACCTGTAACTTCTTTAAGTAGCTAGTAAGTGTTTCAGGCAGGATATGAACTTCTGCCTCTAAGCCTAGTACTTTATCCAATATGCTACCTAGAATGTAAGCTCCTTGAGGGCAGAGACAGTCTTTCTTTTTGCTTATATTTGTCAAGTTCATAGGAGTGGGTTCTGAGGGCTAATTTGTGTTTTGCCATCTATACCTGATAACTTTTTGAAAATTGCTTTCTCTTATAGGTGACCTACAAATGGCTTAGCTACACACTAGGTGTCCATGTCAACCAGGCCAAACAGTAAGTAACCAGATTGCTCAAAAACTTTACTGACTGTAATTACTTTTTTTTTAATAAGCTCCCAATTTCTTTCCTGTTTTAAAAAAAACCAAACAAACTAGGTTACTATTATGAATTGTAACTTATTCAGGACAGGTGAAAAAGAGCATTTACTGATTATTTTATTACCTTTGTGGCTGTTAACAATAAGCATCTATGAAGCTCCCTACTGTGTGCCAGGCACTATGTGGTAGGTGCTATGGCTACAAAAGCAAAAGATAGTCCCTGCTTTCAAGGAGCTCACAGTCTAATGAGGGAGACAATGTGCAAACAATTCTGTACCTACAAGCTCTGGACAGGGTGAGCGGGAGGTAATCTCAGAAGGAAGGCACTAGCATTAAGGGGCATTGGAAAGGCCTTTTGTAGAAGGTGGGATTTTAGCTGGAACTTAATAGTGGGCAGAAGACAGAGGTAAAGAGGGATAATTCCTCTAGTGGGCACACTGCCAGGGTGAGAGGCGGGCTGCCACTGGAAAAATGTGGCGGGCTTATCTGTGAGGTTCTGAACTTGTGTTCTTAACAGTGGTTCTTGGCTCGGTCCCTTCTGTTTTAACGCCTCCTCCCGTCTACCTTCTCCATTACTAGGGCCTGCACGATGACAATACTTCAATGAAGGTCTAATGTGGGTGCTTTCTTGAGTGCTGTCAATTGCTACCTATCTGTCTCTGCTTTCTTGTTCTGTGTGCCTCATGTCTATTTTTTCCCTGTAAATTCTCCACATGTGATCACCTAACATTTCATAAGTCTTTCTGCAATAATAATATAACTGACATTTACGTAGCGCTATGAAGTTTGCAGAGGACTTGACGTTTACATAGAGGTTCTCATTTGACTGTCACAATTAGGTGAGATATAGATAGTACAGGTATTATCTATGTTTTACCTGTGAGGAAACTGAGGCTCAGAAGAGTTAATTGATTTGCTGAAGTGTCTCACAGCTTGTAAGTATTCAAGGTAGGATTTGAACCCAGTCTTTCTGACTCTGAGTTCAGTACGCACTCTCTATGACATCCCCCTGCATTCTCTGAGTACTGCTGAAGCTTTCAGATTGTTCACCCAAAGTTTGATTGTTTGGAGATTGTTATGTTTATGATCTGTAGCCATATAATATGACCAGAGGACCATTGATGTTTAAAAAGTGGGCTTTTGTGACAAAGAATAGGTTAGGATTGTTGAATGTGCTGCACTATTTCCCAGATTCAACCCAGCTTTCTCTCGTCCTCTGGTTCTGGCCCAACTCATTGTCCATCTGCAGTGCTTCTCCAAGATAGATGTACTGGTGAACTACCTCAATGGAATTGCCATCTAGTTACAATTCCTTGTCTGTGCAGCAGACCTTTCACATCAGTTCGGTTCATCTTCTGGATTATTCGGCTTTTCTCTTGAGTGTTCTTGGGATTCCACATCCGGTGGACTGTATTTCTTCCACTTGGATTCTGTGACAGATGGATATTGGTGCTGTCAAGCAAACATCTCTCTTATTGTTTGTCAGAGGATAATTGCCCAAAGATCATTTTCTTGGTGCAGTTTTCAAAGAATCTTATAAGATCTTAACATTTTTGTGGGAGACAGTTTGTTAAAGGAGATCGCTTTAACAATCCATTTTGTCTCCTGAATTAAATGCCTTTAAAAAAATAACCATCAGACAGTGGAATCTTATTTCTTATATCTTTCAGGCAGTTGGAACTTTGAAGATGTCTAGAATACTGTGAAAGCCTGTCTTGTCCACTTTTTAATTATCCCCAAGGATACCCTTGTTGTGTATGTAGATGCTCATTATAAAAATTCTATAGTTATTAGAAAGTAAGCATATGGATCAGTAGTTGCTGATGTTATTCCAGTCACCTTTGGGGGGTAATGATACCATTTACAATTTTTTCTAGTCATCTGATATCTTTTCTTCTTTCAGATATTTAAAGAACTTGATCCTTCAAGCTTTCATTATTGTGTTTCTTCCATTATGGATTTATGCTCGTCCTTGATTTGGTTGAGTTGCTCTTCCCAGTTTCATTTTTTTAAAGTTCCATTTCTACTTCTGTGTAGCGTTTTTGGGACTGAGATTTTTTTTTGTTGTTGTTCAGTTGTTTCAGTAGCGTCCAACTCTTTATGACCCTGTTTGGGGTTTTCTTGGTAAAGACACTGGAGTGGTTTTCCATTTCTTTCTCTAGCTAATTTTATAGGTGAAGAAACTGAGGCAGACAGGGTTAAGTGACTTGCCCAAGGTCGCACAGCTAGGAAGTGTCTAAGGCTGGAACTGAACTCAGTTCAGTGCTCTATCCACTGTACCACCTCTCTGTCCCAGTCTGAGATGGTAGAGCAGATATGATAGTTTTCTAGTGGTACAGCATGAAAATTGGTCACTATAGAAACTGGCATATTTTTTTCAATTTTTTTTGTCTATTTTTTATTCTCCCAGTTTCATCTGTAAATATTTTTAAAATAATCTACCTCATTTGAGTTTCACTGCAACATCTTTGCAGTCATTTTCCTTTCTACCCCTTTAAAAAAAAATTCTTCCCTGAAATGTTTTCAGTCTTTTTGCTTCAGTTTTAGTACTAGGGCAGTTAGGTGGTGCAATAGATAAGAGTGCTGACCTTAGTTCAAATCCAGTCTTAGACACTTTCTAGCTGTGTGACCCCAGACAAGTCACTTAACTTCTGTTTACCTCAGTTTCTTCATCTGTAAATGGGAATAATAATAATAGCACCTACCTCCAAGGGTTGTTGTAAGGACCAAATGAGATAATAATTGTTAAGGTGCTTAGCCCAGTGCCTGACACATAGTAAAACGTATATAAATGTTAGCTGTTATTAATTTTCAGTTTTTTAATTTTCTAATTTTTCCAGGAGTTTGTTACTTCAGTAAGGTTTTGTGCAGCTAGGTGGTACAGTGGTTAGAGTGTTGGGCCCGGAATGAGGAAGACTTCTCTTCCTTAGTTTCAATCTGGTCTTAGACACTTACTAGCTATGTGACCCTGGGCAAGTCATAGTAACCTTGTTTGCTTTAGTTTCCTTATCTGTAGAATGAGCTGGAAAAGGAAATGGCAAACCACTCCAGTATCTTTTCCAAGAAGACCCTAAATGGGGTCATGAAGAGTTGGACACGACTGAAAAATAGTGAACAAAAACAAAAGTTTTGCACCTCTTTTGCTAAACAATTTGTTCTAATGCTTTCCTTTAGAGATCTCACTTCCTTTCTTATTCTTACCTTTACAGTTCTCATTTCCTTTGTTTTTTAAAGTAACAATTTTATTCAAAACTTAATAAACACTAAATTAAATGGACACATACGTAATAGAAAAGAAGGAAAAGATTGTGCGTGAAATTGCAGGTCTCTATTATGAATTGTTTGTCTTTATTTTTAAGTATATATTAAACTTAACCAATAGCTTTCAAAGCTATCCTGCTTGTTTGTGCTTCTTTCTGGCCTTTCTTCTTTTCCCTTCTCAGCATTTTTAAAAAAGATGCCTTAATGACCCTCTTTTCGTCTTTTTTTTTGGCTCCCTCACCAAGGCTATCTACCTTGAACTCCAATTCCTGTCTCATTGGGACAAAAAGAAAAAAAAGGCCGTGTAACAAATATGCATAATTAGGCAAAACAAATTCCAACATTATTTGTGTCTAAAAACCGTGTACCTTATTCTTCATCTTAAGACCATCACCTTTCTGTCAAGAGGTGGGAAGTGTGTTTCATCATCAGTTCTCTTAAATTGGAGTTAGTCATTTTGGCTAGATGGCATAGATGAGCATTGGGCTTGGATGACCTCATTCTTTTTTTTTTTAATTTATTTTTAGTTTTCAACAATCACTTCCATAAGCTTTTGAGTTTTACATTTTTCTCCCCCTCCTTCTCCAAGATGGTGTGCAATCTGATGTAGGCCCTACATATACATTCTTATTAAACATATTTTCACATCAGTCATGTTGTAAGGAAGAATTAGAACCGATAGGAGGAACCACAAGAAGGAGGAAACAAAACAAAATGGAAGAGAAAAAAAGAGCAAATAGTATGCTTTGATCTGCATTCTAACCCCATAGTTCTTTCTCTGGACATGGATAGCATTTTCCATCATGAGACTTTTGGAGATGTCTTAAATCCTTGCATTGATGAGAAGGGTTAAGTCTATCAAAGTTAGTTACTGTACAGCATGCCAACCTTATTCTTACAAGATGTGTGGCCCTGGCAAGTTTCTGCCTGCCTCAATTTTCCCATCTGCAAAATGGGGATAGTAATAATAGCACTGTCCCAGGGTTATTGTGAAGACAAATGGTATAATATTTGTAAAGTGGTTTGCCAACTTTGAAGCACTATGTAAATGCTATCATTATTGCTTCATTCAGAGTCTTCAAGTCTTTCAAAGATGATTTTCTATATAATGTTATTACATTTAGTATACATTGTTATCTTCACTCTGCTCACTTCACTCCATGTCAGTTTATACAAGTCTTCCCAGGTTAATTTGAGATCCTTTTCATCCTTTTTTACAGTGGAATAATACTCCATTGCATTCATATGCCATAATTTGTTTAGCCATTCCCTAATAGATGGGTATCCCTTGGTTTCTAGTTTTTCACTACTACAGAAGGAATTGCTATAAATATTTTTGTACCCTAGAGTCTTTAAAGTTCTTTTGTGTTATAGGAGTAGTAATGATACTGTTGCATCAAAATTTAGTAATACAGTTCAGTGACTTTTTGGACTTGTTTTCTAGAACAGCTGGACCAATTCACAGCTCTGTCATTAGTACATTAGTATTCCTGTTTTCTCAGCCCTTCCAGCAATTATCTTTCTCCTTTTTTTTGTCATCTCATGAATGTGAGGTGCAACGTCAGAGTTCCTTTAATTTGCATTTCTCTAATTATTAGTAATTTGAAGAATTTTTTTCATGTTTAGTAATTTAGATTTCTTTCTTTGAAAACTGCCTATTCACATTGTTTGGCTGTTTATCTGTTGGGGGGCATTGTTCTTGTTCTTGTGGATTTAAATTAATTCCATATATATTTTGGATGTAAGATCTTTATCAGATACAATTGCTACAAAGATTTTTTCTCCAGTTACCAGTTTTCCTTCTAATTTTAACTGCATTGTTTTGGTTTAATTTCCTTTCCCATGCTTTCCTGTAAAGCTTTCTTTTCATTTATATGATTCTTGCTTTATTTCTTCCAAGAATTCTTTATTTTCTTTGAGGCTTTTCTTGTAGGTATTGTGGAAGCATACTGATTTCCCTGTACACACCCACACCCACACACTTTTATATACCCTGTGCCCCCCCCCTTCCTTTTTAAGCTACATATTAAAACCTAATATTAGGACATTACTTTAGTCTGAAGTCTAGTTGGTCTAACCTGAATTAGAAGTTTACATCAGGCTTTCTTTTAACCGTCGACTGAAATAAGACAGCTCTTAATCCCTTTACCTTCTTACCAAGGGCCCAACCACTTTCTTTGATGAAATTGATTAAAAAATTATGGGAATACTCTGTGAGGATAGAATTAGGGATGGAAACCCTTGATTGATATCTTGTTTTTCCTTGACTGGACTGGATTGGGGTAATGATCAGATTAAGAGAAGTCTTTGATTACTACTTCAGTTAATGGAATTATCTCTTGAGTTCACCTTCAGTTCTTGAAAGAAGGATCCTTAGAGAGAATGGGCAAAGCTGGATTTAATAGTTTTAGGAAAATGATTCTCTAGGGTCCACTGATGTTTAAAATTTTTTTTCAACTAATTAGCGTTTTTATTTGTTTTCCTTTTCACCTTTCCCACACCTCAGGGAGGGGAGAAAATGGAACCCAAACTGAAATCTTTCTAACAAATAGACAGTCAAGCAAAACAAGCCCCTGGTTTACTTGTTCCTTATCTTTTTTTTGTTTTGATCAGGATGCTGTATGATTATGTTGAAAGGAAGAGAAAGGAAAATTCAGGAGCCCAGCTACATGTCACCTACTTAGTGTCGGGCAACCTTGTTCAGAATGGAAACTCTGTAAGTACCTAAAATCTTTCATAAGTTGAGGTATGCTTGAACTATAGGTGTTGTTTAGTCATTTCAGTCGTGTCCGACTGTATATGACCACATTTGATGTTTTCTTGGCACAGACACTGGAATGGTTTGGCATTTCCTTCTTCATCTCATTTTAAAATGAAGAAACTGAGGCAAACAGGGTTAAATGACTTGCTAAAGATCATACGGCTTGTAAGTGTCTGAGGCTGGATGTTAGTTCAAGTCTTCCTGACTCCAGGTTCAGCTCTCTATGCACTGTACCATCTAGCTGCCCTTGAACTATAGATAACCTATAGTTAATGGCACATAGAGAAGGCTAACACATTATGGGACCATTGACAACTAGAATGGGCAGGGACTTGAAATATCAACACGTCCAACTTTATTTGATTTCTTGATTTCTTTGATTTATATTTCCCTTATTGCTTTGTTTAGGTCCCTATGTGACTGTTACTAAATTATGTCTTGTTTTCTATTGAATTGTGTGTGTGTTATCTCTCTCCGCTCGTTAGATTATAAACTTCTTGAGAGAAGGGACTCTTTGTTCTCATCATGTATCTACAGCACTGAGCAAAGGGCCTTCAACATTACAGGTGCTCAGCCAATTTTTGTTTGATTACAGGTAAAGAAACCAGAGAGGGGAAGGGACTTAGCAAGTTTGCACAGCTCCTATGAACAGAGTGGGAAACTGGTGCTCTTCACATTAGATTACACTGTTTTTTGTGCACAGAAGCTTCAAAACTTATGATGATGAGGGATTTGGATTAAATTTTATTTATTAATAATAATAATAATAATAATTTGTTAATTAATAATAATTTATTTGCAAAGTGTTTCACATACTTTTTCCCTCATTTGAGCATTTAACCACAATACTAGTAGGTTGTGTGAATAACATCATTCCTATTGATGAGGTGCAGAGAAGTTACATGACTTGCCTATCATCACATAGTAAATGGCAAGGTAAAGGGAAATGACAAGTATTTATTAAGCACCCAATAAATGCTAGACACCGTGTGCTAAGGGCTTTACAATTATTATCTCATTTGGTTCTCCATCACCCTTGGGAGGTGGATGCTGTTATTATCCCCATTTTACAATTGAGGAAAGTGAGGTAGACAGGTGAAGTGACTTGCCCAGGGTCCCATAGCTGGTCCCATGCCTGCGACCAGATCTGTATTCAGGACTTCCTGACTACAGGTCTAATGCATTGTCCCCTGAGCCATTTAGCTGAGATTAAACCTAATTCCAGGCCCAGTGCTCTTTCTGTTACAGGCCATCTCACCACAACGATTTGATATAGTGAACGTTCTAAAGTTGAAATCTTTGGCAACTTGTTTCACTACTGCTGTTGTTTTCTGAAATAGAGAGGGAAGAACATGTCATAGTGGAGAGCTGGCATCAGAGCCAGGAAGACCTGACTCCAGGTCTCATCTCTGACACATACTGGCTGACTGTGTGAATGGGCAAGTCCCTTAACTTCTCCATGCTGTAGGCAGTTCTCTAAAGCTAAAGTGCTAATTTGCATCGGATGAAAGCGTTTCCTTGTCAGGCAGTTCTATGTATCTGTGAAATCACTGATCGAGTCCCCATTCTCCTCCAAAACAGGTAGTCAGGTGGGTGCTTTTTCAGTTTCCAGTTCACCTTTGTCCTGTGGGCTCCTTTTTCCTTAAAACTAGGAGAGTTAAGTCATTCTTATAAAAATAAAAGAGTTTTGTTTGGAATTTAATTTCTTACTCTTTTTAAGATTGCTATATTCATTAGTTTATGGCATGATCTCTAGCTTAGGAACTGTGAGATAGATTTATGCTTCCCTCTCTAGAGAGATGATATCCCCAAGAAAGATGACTGCTAATGTATTTGTACAGTCTTTATAGGTTACAAAGTTCTTTCAAATCTATTAGCCCATTTGGTTATCACAGTAACTCTGTGAAGTGAGTAGGGCTGGTGGTATTAGAAGGGAGGTCACTGAGGCCCTCAAAAGTTAAGCCACCTACTAAAGCCTACAGATCAGGTTAATGGCAGAGCTAATACTAGAATCCTTGGACCTAGTTCAGTGTCACATGACTAATAGCTGACAGAGGTAAGACTACAGTCTGCACCATTACATCTCTGCCTCACATCACTGGGTAAGTTATTGATATCTTTCAGTGATTTGTTGTGTAGAACTCTTCATTATTGCTCTAGAAATTTTCATAGCGAGGCATAAGTAGTCTGTAAATGTGTCACCTTATCACACTCCCCTCATCAGACACTCCTCCCCCCACCTAAAAAAGCCCTGTGAAATTTTTTGTGTAAACATAAAATGGGTTTAATAGATTTCTTCTGAAATACAAGCACCAAGACAAAGTACAAACATACTTAACAGTGGTAAAATTAATTACGAGGAGTTGTGGGAAGATGATGTGTTAGGATCTAGAGATGCTGAGATCCATTTAGAAATACCCTACTAAAGCTCTAAAAAAATCACCAGAAAGAATAAGACAGAAAGCCAAAGAAAAATAGCTATAATCTCTTTTATCCAGTCCAGGACTGTACAAAGTGACTGCCAGAATTCTGTGAAAGCTCTTGAGTGGCTATCAGCCAGGGTAGGCAGACAGATGCCAAGATTGCAAGCAACACAGACCCAGAGTAGTAGTTAGGGCAGGATCAGCACCCAGGCAGCCTCACCCAGGGCCCAAGAGACTCAGTGGTGCAGCATCCAGTAGGCCTGCCTACAGCATAGTAGGAGACCAGGCTAGATTCAGTTCTGGGCAGCCTGTACCCAAGGAACAACAGGAGAAAGGGCCATGGTAGCACCTGGGAAGAAAAGCATCTGAGGTTTTGTAGGAAACCTGAAACCAGTGTAGTCAGCAACTTCTGGTTGGAGTCTGACAGGTCATAGTAAGGGATGGAGACAACTCCAGGTGTAGGACACAGAAAAGACCAATGTTTGAGGACTCAGACAAGACCAATACCAAAACCAGCTGTTGAGGGATGTCAGCTTCTCTAGATCCTAACATACTATCTTCCACAGTTCCTCCTAATTAATTTTACCACTGTTAAGTTGAGCCACCAGGAGGCTGAGCCAAACCCAGGAATTCCTGCAGAAGGCAGGATCTAGTTTGAGCCCCCCCATCCAGGACCAAACAGGGCATGTGCCCTGGCCATCACAGAATGTGGAAGGAACAGAGTGACTCGAGTATAAGATCCTAAATCAGTTGCTGAGGCTGGAGTTATAAGTAAAAAGAAGGAAATGCTGAACACAATGAAGAGAAACAATGGATTTAGAGAAGCCCAAGAGGTAAATACAAAAGAGGAGAGTAACCCAGCAAATAGAGCTTCTGAGAAAAGAAGACCTGGCCACAACATTGGAGAGGACCTAAAAGACACAACAGGTGTGACACACAAAATGTAATGTTAAATGAAATGGCAGATGGAGAGGAAAAACTGGCAAAAAGAATCAGTAGTTTAGAATGGAAGGTGATAAACTTACCCAGGAATTGAACTCTCTGAAGATGAACGAACCAAACGGAGAGCAGCAACTCCAGTGGACAAGAAGAAACTAAAACAAAATCAAAAGATGGAGAAAACAGAAGAAAATGTTGCAAGCAGCTGACCTGGAAAACAAGTCAAGGGGAGATTAATCTAAGAGTCTTTGGATTATGTCAAAATCATGACTTAAAAAAGCCTGATTACCATATTTCAAGAAATCAGTTTTTAAATCTGCCTAGATTTATTGGAACCAGAGAGCAAAGAAGAAAATAAAAGGAATCTACCATTCACCTCCTGAAATTAACGCCGAAATGAAAATTTCCAGGAACATTATAACCCAAAATCCTGAGCTTCCATGTCAAAGAAAAAATATCACAAATAGCCAAAAAGAGAATTTAGGTACCAAGAAGCCATAGTCAGGATCTTTCGATTTGTCAGCTGCTGTTATAAGGAGAGAACTTGAAATACAGTATTACGGGAGGCAAAAGATAAAGGCTTGCAATGAAGAATAACATTAACAAAACTGAGTATAGTCCTGCAAGGGAAAGAAATTTACCTTTAATGAAATAGAGGACTTGAAAATGTTCCTCTTGAAAAGGCCAGAAGGGCCTAGGAACTTGGAAAGGCAGATGCATAAAACAAGAGAAATGTAAAAAGGTAAATATATTTGATCATTTAGTAACAGTGAGTTACTTATATTCTAATGAGGGAGAAGATGGAAGACCTCTAATGTCTTCAGGAATCATGGAAAGAGTTAAGAGACAGTGTGGGGGTAGTTCTGTTCTACTTCAACAGCCTTAGGAGAAGGAAAAGGGGGAGAAAACTTAAAGTTAGTTTTAGTTAGTTAATGTTTCATCCATTAATGTAATAAGAGGAGTGGATTGGGAGAAGAATGTGCCATTGAAGAAAGGATAGGGAGAATGTGCATCCCATGAATCTTACTTTCATCTGAACTAGACAAGGAAAGTTGCATACATTCATACACACACACACACACACACACACACACACGAAGAGTCAGGTTAGGGCAAGGAGAGAAGAGAGAGAGGTTTAAGGAGCCCAGGATAGGTGGGGGAATAGTCATAGGCAAAACAAACTCCAACATCGGAGAGTAGAGTGTTAAGAATAGTTTAAAAGAAAGAAATGAAAGATTAGAGACAGTGAGATGAATAGAAAAGGGACAATGGATTAGGATAGATCTCTTCAGTTATGGGTTACTAGTGATAAGCAAACTCCTCGTTCATCCCCTTCATTATAAAGAAGTGAATATAGGGGGGAGAAGGAGAGAAAAAAGTACAAGAAGACAAGATGAAGAGAAATACACAGTTAACAATCATAACAACATGAATGGCATGAACTGACCCATGAAAATGGAAGAGGATATCATGGATTACAAAGCAGGACCCAACAATTGTTATTTAGAAGAAAAACATTTGAAAGATCAAAACTCAACCCAGAGATAAAATAGTTGGAGCAAAGTCTTATGCTTCAAATGAACTTTAAAAAAAATTAGAGGTACAATCGTGATTTCAGATAATAACAATAATAAATATGGATACAAAAACATAAGCACAGGAATTGCTTTATACTTAAATGTACCATAGAAAATGAATTAGTACTTCCTATGTATGCTGTAATGGCATAGCATAAATACTTAAAGGAAGAGTTAATTGAATTGCAGGGAAAAAATAGTAAAATTATAATATTGGGGGAGCCTTATTGTACTCCTTTCAAAACTATGCAAATCTAACAAAAAGATAAAACAAGAAAGACATTAAAGACTTGAATCGAACTTTAGAAAAGTTAAATATGATAGATTTGTTGTAATTAGAGCCAAAATTTAGAAACAGAATAGGAACAAAATAGGAGCAAGAAGAGGTTTACATATTTCTCACCAGAACGTGGCACATTTACAAAAAATGATCATGTATTAGGGAATTAAAAACCTCACAAACAAATGAGAAAAAGCAAAAATATTAAGCATCCTTTGTTGACCATAATACAGCAAAAATATATTCAGTAAAGGGGCTTTGAAGTATGGATTAAAAAAAAAAGATTAGAGACTACTTTAATCTCAAGTAATTAATGAGTCAAAGAACACATAATCGAAACAACAAAACATTTCGTTAAAGAAAATGTCAACAGAGAGACAGCATACCAAAACTCATGGGATACAACAAAAGCAGTGCCTAGGATAAAATTTATTCTACCTGCTTTCATTAACGAAGACTAGAGAAAAGATTAATAAATTGAGCATGTAACAAAACCAGACCTAGGAAAGTAACATAGAAAAACTCCAAATGAACACTAAAGTAAAAATTTTGAAAATCAAAGAAGAATTTAACAGAATTGAAAATAAAAAACCATTGAGTTGACAAATAAAACTAGGAATTACTTAAAAAATAAAAACAGCCAAATAACCTAATTTTTAAAAAAGTACAAAAGCAAATGGAAAAAAAAACTGAAAGGAATAAGGAGAATTCACAGCTATTGAATATGAAATAAAGGAAACCATAGTTAACTTTTATCCAGTGTGCCCAACGAAAAGGATAACTGACATGAAATTGATGAATGTTTACAAAGACATAAAATTGCCAGGTTAATGGAACAAGAGATACAGTATATAAATTAGTATCAGAAAAAGAAATTGAATAATTCATAAATGAACAATTCATAAAAAAGGGAGATCAGATTTATTTTCAAGTAATTTTAATTAAACTTTAAAGAACAATTAAGACCAAAATTACATGAACAATTTGCAAAAAACAAGAAAAAAAGAGAGAGTTCCAAGCTGTCTATGATACAGGTAGGCTCTTTATTCCTAAACCAGGGAGTGACAAAGCAGAGGAAGAAAACTATAGCTCACTATCCCTAGTGAATATTGACACAGAAATGTTAAATAAAATATTATTAAAGTGGTAACAACAGTATTTTAGAAAGGTTATGTATTATGACTAAATTAGATTTATGTGAGGAATGCAGGGTTGATTTAATAGAAAGAAACAATAAATGCAATAGACTACATTAATTTAAAAAACACAGTTATGTCAGTAAATGCTGAAAAAGATTGACAAAATCCAATACTCACTTCTATTAAAAACACTAAAAAGGGAAGGAAAAAATGGATCTTTCTTTAATATGGTAAGTAGTATCTAAAATGAAGAGCTAACATTTTCTGTCATGGAGAATGAATAGAAGCCTTCCCAATGAGATCAGTTTAAAGCACACATGGTTGTTATCTCCACTACTATTTGATACAATTCTAGAAATTCTAGGTATAGCAATATAACAAGAAAAAGAAATTGAGGGAATAAGCAAAGCCAGAGAGGAAACAAAACTATTACTTTTTGCAGATGATTTGATAGTCCATCTAGAAAACTAAAGAATCCACTAAAAATTAAGTGAAATAGTAACTTCAGCAAAGTTGCAAGTTATAAAATAAATCCACATAAACTACTAGCATTTCTGTATATTACCAGCAAAATCCAGCAGGGATAGATAGAGAAATTCCATTCAAAATAATTACAGAATGTGTAAAACATTTGTGAATCTACCTGGCAAGACACGCACAGGAGCTCTTAATAGTATAATCTAAACCATTCTTTACAGACTAGAGATGAAGGTAAAAAGTTTGATATTGCTCATGGGCGTCCAATATAACAAAAATCACAATACTGTCTAAATAAATGTACTTATTTAGTACCTCGCCAAATGATTACTTGGTATAGAGCTAGAAAAATATTAATGAAATTCATCTGGAGGAGAAAAGGTCAAGAATCTCAAGGGAATTATTGAAAAAAGGTGGAAAGGAAAGAACCCTAGCAATTTCAGACCTCAAACTGCACCACAATTCAGTAATCATTAAAACGACTTGGTATTGGTTAAGAGAAGACATTCAGTGGATCAGATTTGGTCCACAGCTTGTAGAAGCAAATGAACATAGTAGCATCCTTTTCTATAAATCCAAAGATCACAGCTACTAGGGTAAAGACTCACACTATTCAACAAAAATTTGTGGGGATATATGCAATGCAGTCTGGCAGAAATTAAGGATAGACCGATAACTTCCGTGTGTGTGTTTATGTGTGTGTGTGTGTATATCTTAGATTTGAAAGATCAAATCATAAACTAGATGATCAAGGAAGAATACACATTTCCTTGCTATGGATGGGGAAGAGTTTTTGATCAACTATGGAATAGAGAGGATCAAAGACAATAAAATAGACAATTTTGATTACTTAAAATTAAAAAGCTTGTGCATAAAGCTAATTGGTGCATTTAAAACTATTAGGGAAACAGGCAAACTGGGGGAAAATTTTATAGCTGATTTCTTGAAAGTTTCCTGTACTTATTTGGTATTTTTGATGGAAATAGGTAATTGGATTTTGTTATCTTGATATACAGTATATGTAAGTAAGGAACTGATTCAGTTATATAATAATGACAACTGTACCATAATAGATAAATAGTTACAGGATATAAACAAACAGTTATTAAAGGAAGAAATTCAAGTATCAAGAACAATATGAAAAAAATTCTCTAAATCACTAAAAATTTAAAAAATTTAACACTGAGATTCCATCTCACATCTATAGCAAAGATAACAACAAAGGAAAATGAAAATGCTGGAAGGCTGTGGGAAAATAGGCACAGTAAGGCATTGTTGGTGGAACTGTGAGGTGGTAGAGCTGTTCTGGAAAGCAATTTGGAACTATGTCTTTAAAAAATCACAAAACTATGTCACTGAACTTTGACATAGTAATACCATTACTATGAAATACTAGAAAGAGATAAAGGCCCCATATATATTAAAATTCTTATAGTGGCTCTTTCAGCAAAGGCAAAGAACTGGAAACAAAGGAGGATATGCATGGATTGGAGAATGGTTTTGTGTGTGTGTGTGTGTGTGTGTGTGTGTATGGTATGTGCATGTAACTGGGCTATTATTTTGTAAGAAATTATGAAAGAGATGATTTCAAAGAAACTTGGAAAGACTTATATGAACTGATACTGGATGAAGTGAATGGAACCAGCACAATCTAAACAATAACAACAGCATTGTAAAGAATAATAACTTTGAAAGACTTATGACCAGTCTCAGTTCTGTCATGATGATGCATCGTGATAGAATGATGAGGCACCTCCTGACAGAGAAGTGATAGCCTCAGTGCAGAATGAACTGTACATTTGTAGGCATAGCCAATTTGGGGATTTGTTTTTCTTGACCATCCATTCTTATTACAAGGGCAGTATTTTTATTTTTTCCACTGGGGGTGTGTGGAAGAGGGGTTACAAATTAGAGTATCTTCCTCTCTTCTCTACCTCAAAAAAGAAGAAAAAGAAAAGAGGGTCAAAAGGACAGAGGAGAACAGAAGGCCAGAAAGAATCACAGTTAAGCAGGATGGATTTGAAAGTTATGTGTCGAATGTATTGAATATTTTGAAAGAAAAGCAAGCTATACATTATAGAGATTTGCAATTTCTTTTACAGTCTTCTTTCAGTTCTGATATCTATCTATACATATGTATTACATATATATGAAAATTCTCATTTGTTAGGTTCAGAATGCAATTTAGAATTATTTAGTTGTAGTTTGTAAGATATTTGTAATATTGAAATAAACCTTGTAACCTTCCTTAATCTAATTTAGAAGACTCATAGTAGGAAAGGCTTAAAAGAGTTTTTTCAAACTTTATCGTGGCATTCAAGGCTTTCTACAGTCTGGCTCCAAGCTTTTTGAACTTGTGCTAGTCCCCATCATGCACTTTATGTTCCAGCCGAACTGGACTACTCTTTGTTACCTGTTATTCTTCCTTTTTCCCAATCTCAGTGTCATTCTGTCCCTGTTATTGGAGTGGACCCCCTCTCCCTGCCTTTTACCCCACCCCAGGACCTCTATTTGTTGAAATTCCTTCTTTCTTTCAGGGCCCCATTTCAGATGCTGCCTCCTCCAAGAAGCAGGAGCTAATGTTCCCTTCCCTTCCTTCAGCCAAAAGTGATCTCTTCTCCCACAGATTTATCATAGCTCTTCGGTGGAATCCTCCTTTTGCATTTAGCATCCTGTCCTTTGCATCGTGTTTATGGGTATATGTTTTTCTCTCTCTCTGTGTCTCCCTCTCTCCTTGTGAGTCTCTTCCTCTCTCTTTTCTTCTCTCTACCTCCCTTCCCTTTGCCAATTAGAATTTAAGTTCCTTCAGAACAAAGCCTATGCCATATTTATCTTTGTATTGCCAGTGCTGAACATACAGGTTATCACATATTTTTGAGGTATCCTTTGCTGTCCTAATACTCCTTCCAAGTACCATTGAACTATTAGAAAGAAAACCTTAAAATTCTAATGAAGATAAATTGTTATTTCTTGCAGTGCCACAAGGTTGCAGTAGTGAGAGAAGATAAACTGGAGGGTAAGTGTTTGAGTTGTTAAGCAAGTTTTTCCTCTTAAGGTACCAAAATGTAGGTATCATAAAAAGCTACTTTAACATCTGCACATAATACTTTCAGCTGCTTAACTGGAGAGTTCTGTATTCCTTTTATTACCAGTTCCTCAAACCTTTTAAAATATGATACTCCATCTGCCTAACCTCATACTCTTATAACTTAATAACAACTGACATTTATATAGCACTTTTCAGCAGAAGACCTCAAAACTTCTGATGGACATTCCAAACTACTGAAAGCTCGGTGGATTTTCTTACCAATCATGGAGAGACAGTAGCCTTTCATCAGTGCACTGTGTTCTTTGACAGTTGTTTGGGAAGGAAATGAAATAGAACTTCTCTGGAAATCCCAAAGGGCTTCATGTCACTTCCAAATTAAATGTTTGAGCACCATAACAAGACTCTTCTGTTTTGTTTTTGTTTTGTTTTTAAGCAGAAGAAAAAAACCCCAACAACCAGGAATCTATATTTAATGAGATGTTATGGTCTTAGATCTCTTGTTTCCCACCAAAGCATCATCTATTGTCTTTGTATGTAAAGACTCGTTTCCATTCCAAACTTTCCATTGTTAGTCAAAGTTAAATTTGATATATTAATGGTGATAGTTACTTTTTTCCCCCCATTTCTTTGCTTATAGTGATATTCTTCTGGTAGCAAAGGCAAGGTGGCTGATGGGGGTCTAGGGCATTGGCTATATAACCTAGATGTATCTCTTCCCTTTGTTTTTTCTTTATGTGATAGGCAGGTATTGTTGTGTCTACTCCATAATAATACCTCTCATTTATATGAGGGTAATAGGATCATATATTTAGAACTGGAACAGACCTTAGAGATCACTAAGGCCCAGAAAGATAATGACTTGCTCAAGGCTGTAAAATAATAGGTAGAAGAGTTGGATTTGAACCCAGACTTTCTGACTCTACACCATACTGTCTCCTCAGGCAAGGCTTTATGAGAAGACCTATTTCATTTTTCCTTGATGCTGTGCTCAGTAGTCCTCTCCTAATTCTACTAATGTGCCTGTTGATCATTGTTAAATTTATAATAAAAGTGAAATTTAAATTGAAAAAAAATTCTGAGACTTTAAAAGCTCTTTGTTTCCAAAGGATTGTGCTTTTATGATTTACAGCCAGAAGGGATGTTGGAGATCATCTAATCCAATCCCTTTGTGTATAGAGCAAAACAACCATGGAGGTGCTAAGTGTCTTGCCCAAGGTGGCAGAGCCTACCATGTCTTCCAATCTCAACTCTTCATTTTACTCCATCATGCTGTATTTCTAGGAGTAACCCTGAGGAGTAGTCACGGAAGGATTATTGCTTTGCTTCACAGATGAGGAAACGGAGGCAGAGGTTATCCAGGTTGCAAGGAGCAAAACTGGCCCTCAAACCCAGTCTTCTGTCTCCTGTTCTGGTACTCTTCCCATTATACCATGCTAAGTGTCTTCCTGAGAGAATAGTATCTCTGTGCAGAGATTAATAGATATTAATGTATATTGGTTCAGGCAGAAATGACCTTCAGCAACCTTGTTTCCCATCAGCAGTATGCTAGACAACAGATCCTCCAGTGACTGAGGGAAAGAGAACCCCTGGTTGTCATCATCAGTCATTAGTTACTGTTTATTGAGTGCCCGCTGCGTGTGGGAGACGATAGTGAGTGCTATATTGCCTGACTCACTACCACCTACCTTGTCAGAATGTCCCTGTTTGCAGACAGATGAGTTGATGTTATTTCAGGGTGGCTTGTTAGCCTTTAAAGCTATTGGACTACCACAGACTGCGAATGGTTTAATGCAGAAGTTGTTGTTATATTCCTCTTCATGCCATGAAGACTTTGTATTAACAGTGTACTCTTCCTGTTGACTCGTAGCAGTGAAGTCCAGGCTTGCTGTGACTGCCAGCATCCATGTGTACAGTGTCCAGAAAGCAATGCTCAAGGACAGCGGGCCTCTGTTCAACACTGATTATGACATCCTCAAAACCAACCTGCAGAGCTGCAGCAAGTGAGTGCTTTAAACCTTCTCTGTGGGCTTTTTGGCTAATTGGTCTTATAAATTGTTTATACAGTGGCTCCCTCTTAATGTGAAATGTCAGCTATGGTAAAAGCCCCATGGCCTTACAGGATAGCCAGGGCTTGGTTTGGTGGTGCATTGCGAGCTGAAAAAAACCCAAAAGCTCTGTGTAAAGGAAGACTGGATTTCCCTAGGACCCCCATACTGAAATCCCGGTGGAGTCCCTGTATGCCTTTCTTAGAAAGAACTCCAGTATTTACTGCAGTATGCCACAAAATGATTATTTAATAGAATCACAGAACCTCAGAGTTGTCATGGATCTTAGAAAAATTGGGTAGTCTGATCATTCCCTTGAAGCAGGAATCCCCTCTAGCACAGACTCAGAGAATCTCAGTGTTGGAATGGTGTTGGGAGATCACCTGGTGTAGTACCTCTCCGATGCAGTAATCCTTTTTGTGGCATCCCCGACTAGAGGCAATCCAACCTTTGCTTGAAGGGGTGATAGGGAAACTGTCTCCTGAATGAGGCAGCCTGCTCTGCTCTTTCCTTATGTTGAATTGAAATCTGCCTCTGTAGAATGATAGCTGTCCCCTCCCCACCCCCACATTCTGTCCTACAGGAGCCAGATAGCACACATTAAGTACCTACTATGTGTAGAATACCTGTTGTGCTGGGCACTGGGGAAGATCCCTAGTTTATATAAGACATGGTCCCTGGCCTCATTTGGTTCACAGTCCAGCAGGGACATCTTCTTTTCAGTCAGCCTAGCTAGAAAGTAAGTTCTGAAAAGATAAAATAAAAAAATTATATGATTTGTTTTGTGAGAATTGAAAAAAAAATTATTAAGACTCTGGTAGATGTCAGTCAAATTGAGTGATTATTGTTTTTTGAAAAGCCTTCTGTATTGTAATTTGGAATGCTATGTTAGGTTCCAAAAACCAGTCACCATATTACAAACAGCATGTCAGTAAGCAAGAAGAAAAGGGACTCCAGCATTTTGAAAATGCAGTTTGCTCAGGGCCCCCTAAAATAAACAAGGCAAGTGGAAAACTTGGTAACAGGAAGCATTCTAATGAAATTTCACTTAAGCTATTCCCAGTAGAGATATGAAAAATTTATCTTCAATAAAGAAGTTTGTATTTAGCTCTGAAAATTGTGGGTCACCAGGGAACTGACTCATTTCTAGGATTGTTTCATGTGTTTGAAGAAGTGCTATGGAATCAAGAGAGGTGGAACTTTAGAACTGAGCAGAGGGCCTTTGTATCCTGGCTCAGATTTACAACCTGACTTGCTCTTTGCCCTGTTGCTGTTTCCAGCCCAATCCTTAGGCTGAGAAATATAGACTAAGAAGAGAGTCATTGTCACTGACCTGACAGTAGATATAGACAGTTCTGTGAAACACAGCCCCCTTGATAGAGAGTAGTCAGGGAGGATGAATGGCTATCAGCTGTTGCATTGCTGATACCCTGTTCCTAACTTTAAGTGGACAAAATTATTTTGTAAGTGTGGGTTCTTAAAAGGTGATCTCCACATAGGAACCTTATGTGTACATAGTCTTTGGAAAACTTTTACAGGGGTGGGGAACTTGTAGCCTCAAGGCCACTTGTGACCTTCTAAGTCCTTGGGTGGGGCCATTTGACTGAGTCCAAGTTTTACAGAACACATTCTTTTATTAAGAGGATTTGTTCTGTGAAGTTTGGATTCAGTCAAAGGGTTGTACTTGAGGACCTAGAGGGCCACAGGTTCCCTGCCCCTGCTTTTGGAGCTCCAATAATAATAGCTATAATAATAGCTCTTATTTGATACTCACAACTACCCTGAAAGGTCGGTGCTACTATTATCCCCATTTTGCATATGAGGAAACTGAAGCAAATAGAGGCTAAGTGATTTACCCAGTGTCATCCAGCTAATAAGTGTCTTGAGGCTGAATTTGAACTCAGGTATTCCTGTCTCCAGGCCCAGTGTTCTATCCACCTAACTACCCTATAGCATGGGATGGCTTTTGAAACTTAGTGAATGATCAGTAGATTACAGTCCATCAGTAAATCTTGAAGCCAGATTTTCTTGATATCCAAAACAGCAACTACCACCAGACACTCTTCTCCATGACTTTTGAGTGATTCCCAGCTGAGGGGGATCTGAAGTCATTTGTACACTCTTCACTCCTGTCCCTCTCCAAGGATCTTCATAATACTTATAGCTAATATCTCCATAGTGCTGCAAGAGTACTTTCTTCATAACCACCCTTTGAATGGAAGTAGTACAAGTGTTATTCACCTTTTTAATGAGGAAAATCTTTTACAGATGAGGAAACTGAGATTTTTAGAGCTCGATTGACTTCCGCAGGGTCACATAGTAAGTGGCAGCAGAGCTGAAACTCAAACTTTGAGTCTTCTAACTCACAGTCTGGTCTGTACTCTAAAGTTAGGGTCAGGGAGGTGGAAAGTTAGGGAGGAAGAAATCAAATGTACTCTTTCATGGAGAAAAACTTGGTGACTCTAGCTTGGGTTAACCTTTTGAGCAGGCCTGAACAGTGTGCCTTCTAGAGATTCCATTTTCTTTAATCCTCAGCAGTGGTGATACTGGAATAGTAGTACCAGTGACAAATTTGAGCTCAGTTCTCATGAACTTGGGTCTTTGTTCTAAATATTAGGAAAAAAACTTAACCTCTAATTTCTTTGTTTAGTTCTATTTTTGTTCTCTTTGTGGTAGTTAAGTTGTGCTGTGTTAAGTTCACTAAAGTTATTCCTTTTCTGGTGCTGACCTCATAAATCATCAGAAAGAATCTGAGTTCTTCCTTCCTTTTTTAAAGAGGGCTACTGAACTGGTAGATCAGAGGATTGCTATAGACTTCGTTTACCTATTTTTTTTTTAAGGGTTTGTATCGTGTTAGTTATTCTTATGGAAAAGGTGGAAAGCTCTGGGCTGCGTGGTCTTCCAGGGGAATCAAGTGGCTATATTCAAAGCTGTGAGAAAGCAAATTGGCCAGGCCTCAAGAGAAGTCAGTAATGGCTGGATGTCAGTTTGGAAAGATGTCTCTGGTGGAGGGTTCCCCAGGGAGCTGTGCTGCTTAATGTCTCAGGCAGAGAGATAGAGGCATCTTTATCTAATTTGGAGAAGGTCTATTTAGGAGCAGTGGCAAATACACTACACCACAGAATCTAAAAACATTAGAACATTGGGCTGAATATAAGAAGATACAATTCATTAGAGATACATGTAAAGGCTATACTTGAAATTTGATTTCATATTCACAAGATGGGGAGGTAAGATTATATAGCAGTTTGAGAGAGGTCTGGGAATTTTAATGGATTGCAAGTTCATTACAAAGTAGCAGCATGATGTATCCAAAAAGTTCATGTGACCTTGGATCAAGGGAGGAAAACTTTCAGGAATAAGGATGGGGTCGTTCTACTGTGTTCTGCCCTCATCAGGGCACATTTAGAGTGTCAGGTTCAGTTTGGATACCATGTTTTGGGAAGAGCATTGGTAAGCTGGAGTGTGACCAGAAGATAGCAGCTAGAATGGTGAAGTATCTGGAGTCCATATTATGTGAGACTCAGTTGAAAGAACTGGGGATGTCAAGTCTAAAGAGAATTTTTTTTTTGCTAGGAAGTGGGGTTAAGTGACTTGCCCAGGGTCACACAGCTAGTAGGTGTCAAGTGTCTGAGGCCGGATTTGAACTCGGGTCCTTCTGAATCTAGGGCCGGTTTTCTGTCCACTGTGCCACCTAGCTGCCCCCGGATGTTAAGTCTAAAAAGAGGGTAGGGATGGAGGGAAACAACATTTGTATAGCACCTGCTATGTGCCAGGCCCTGTGCGAAGAGCTGTATTATCTCATTTGATCCTCACAGCAACCCTGGGAGATAGATGCTACTATTTTTTTTTTCTTTTTGGCGAGGCAGTTGGGTTTAAGTGACTTGCCCCAGGGTCACACAGCTAGTAAATGACAAGTGTCTGAGGTTGGATTTGAACTCAGGTCCTCCTGACTCCAAGGCCAGAGCTCTGTCCGCTGCGCCACCTAGCTGCCCCATATAGGTGCACTATTATTCCCATTTTACAGGTGGGGAACCTGAAGCAGGTATCAGTTAAGTGACTCACTCAGGGTCACCTAGCTAGTGTCTGAGATCAGTCAGGTCCACTGCATCACTAGCTGTCTCCAAAAAGAGAACTTAGGCAGGGCATGAAAGTACTTGAGAAGCATTTTTTTTGTTTCTTTTGGTCAAGTAATTTTTATTGATATCTTTTGTTTTCATATTATCTACATTTCTTCTATTATTTTCTACTTCCTAGCTACCAGAGAGCCATCCTGTATAACAATTTTTTTTTTAAAAAGGAAAGAAAAAGAGGAGGAAAAAATCAGCAAAACTGATCAGTACATTGAAACAGTCCCAAAATGTATGCGGTATTCCATACCCATGAACCTCCTACCTCTTCAGAGGAGTGGAAGGCAGTGTCTTCTCATGTTTTTTTTTTTTAGGGTAATACTTATTCTTTTGTAATTTTTTAGCATTCCCTTTTGATTGTTTTGTAGTGGCTCTGTTTCCATCGTATGATGTTTTGTTGGCTCTGCTTACTTCACTCTGCAGCAGTTCATGGGAGTCATCCCGTTGTAGTCACGTACCACAGCTTGCTTAGCCATTCCCCAGTCAGTGGACATCCACTTTGTGACAGGCTGTCTTGGGGAAGAAGGATTAGACTTGTTCTTTTTGCCCGCAAAGGTCAGAACTAAGAGCAATGGATAGAAACTTTCGAAGACTCCTTTTGACTTGGTGTCAGGGAAAGAATTTCTAATAATTAGAGCTCTCCAAAAGTGGAATGTGCTTCCTGAGGAAGTACTGGGTTCTCTCTCCCTGAATGTCTTCAAGCAAAAGTTGGATAACCACAGGTAGGTGTGTTGGATGTGAGTGAGACTAGATGGCCATTGTGAATCCTTCCAGCTCTGAAATTCTGGTATACAGAGTTGGAAGGCCATCGGAGGGGTCAGACATGGCAGTCTTCTGCACTTCCCTGGTGCAGAACCAGGTGAAAGTATAAAAACAATAGAGGATAGTGTGTAGTGTGACTCCGAGTTATGTTAATATTAATTTCTAAGTCAGTATGTGGTCTTCAGGGATCCTTATGTAGGGCTTAGTGGCCCCTGTTCCATTTGAGTTTGACATTTCTGCTCTAGTATGTTTCACTTCAAAGGTAAGAACCCCCTCTGCAGGTCCCTGCAGGGCTTAATTGATGAGAGTGAAACCACCATTTCTTTGGGTTATTTTTGGTAGTCAGTCCGTCAGTAAGTCTTAAGCACTTACTATGTGCCAGGAGCTCTGCTGAGTGCTGGGGATACAAAGAAAGTTCCTGCTCTCAAGGAGCTTGCAGTTTAATCAGGAAGGCAGCGTGCAAATAACTAGATTGTATAAGACATACACAGTGTAAAAGGAAAACAACAGTTTTAGAGGGAAGGGGCTGGCAATGGTGGAGGGTGGGGAGGAATTAGAAACGTGTTAGAAAGTTAGTTCTCACTTTGAGCTAAAACCTACCTCCTTATAACTTCCGTGTGATCTTAAACTCCTAGAATCTTAAGAATTGGAACAACAACAACAACAGCTAGCATTCACGTCTCACCCTTTTTGGTCTTCAGAGCCTTGTGTGTGATCTTTCACTTGATCCTCATAACTCTGAGTTAGGTGCTATCGTCTGTCCCGTTTTACAGATGAAGAAATTGAGGTATAAAGAGGTTAAACGATTTGCCCAGGGCCACACAGCTAGTGTCTGAAGCAGAATTGAAACTTGGGTCTTTTTGATCTCAAGTTCAGCTCTCTTACCTCTGCCCTCCTGGCTGCCTTGAGTCTCTCATTTAGCTCCTCTCTCTGCAGAAGCATGAATCTGCTTGGTGGTATCTCTGACCAGTGTCAATACGTCGTCCACTTGAAAACTTCTAGCCATGGGGAACTTACTACTTAACCAAGGCAGCTCAGGCTACTTTTGGGCAGTTCTTATCATTAGGAAGTGTTCTTTCACATTGAGCTAAAATCCGCCTTTAACTAACCTGTTGCTCTTATTTCAGCCAGTAGAGGCCAAGCAGAACAGATCTAATCACTTTTCTACCACCAGCCTGCTGAACACTTGATTATTCTCCATAAGACTTTTTATATTTAATATGCCCCTTCCCCATTCATTCCATTGTTGCCTGATTTGAACATAAGCTTCTTGAGGACAGGGACTGATTCATTTTTGCCTTTGTATATCTAGCTCCTACTACAATGCTTTGCAAATAGTAGGTATTTCAGGTTTGTCAAATTGGATTTTTGAATATAACAAAATTGTCATATAACACGGTAATCAAAATAGTCAGCACCTGCTGTAATGTCAATTTAGTTTTGGGTAAATCTCAACTTAAATTATTTGACATATCCCTCTTTTGGTTTACTCAGGTGCATGTGTGTGTGTGCGTGTGTGTAATTAAATGCTAAATTTAGTTTAGTTCAGCAGTATTGAACTGAATATTTTTATGTTTTAGAGTTCCACGAGAAAGAAATATACAAAGAAAGAGATTATTTCTTGATTATCTGAACAAAATATTCCAGCATATTCCTCCACCTGTCCTGAGAATTCTTACCCATGGTACCACTAATTTGATATTAAAGAGAATTAAATGTAGCAAAGAGATATGTAGCCATAGGAGCTCCATGACTCAGATCCCAGCCACTTCCCTGTACTAGATCATGAATAGTAACAGCAAAGAAATTTGCCAGTGATTTTGTTGTTTAAGCCCCTTAGCTTCATATTTATTAGTTATTAAATTATCTACAAGATAATTGTTATTATAGATTTAGGATTAAGAGCCTAGTGAAGACATTCAGTTTTACATTAATAGTGACTTTGCTAAAGTTTGTTGTTATTTGGTGGTTCACATTCCATTCTGATTTGGATTGCTTCTTTTCCAGAAACTGAGATAAGTAAGTGGAGTTAATTGAGAGGGTATTCTTTCGGGGAAAGGTTAAGATGGAAAGGAAGGCCAAGGTTGGCTTCATGTTGTTAGGAAATGAAATTAATAGAATGCTTTCTTGTCCTAGGTTTAGTGCCATCCAATGTGCAGCTGCTCTACCCAGAGCCCCTGATGAAATTTCTCCTTCAGAGAAATTTGGACAGGCTGATCCTCAGCCATCAAATGAGGCCCTACCCAATGGTGAGCATACCACCAATGGCCATGGTCCTTCTGCTACCAAACAGACCTCACAGCATCCCAAAGGAATTATGGGAATGTTTGCCTCCAAAATGGCTTCCAAACCCCAAGACACTAACAAGGAGACTAAAACAGAGTCAAAAGAGGCAACAAATGTAAGTTAGTCATTGGATCTTACATTTTCCCTATGTGGTGTAGATTGTCTTTTAACATCTTGCTATTTAAAATATTTTAATTAATATTTTAATATTTAATGCTAAGTTAACATTAACGTCAGCTTGAATCCAATAATACTTGTAGTTTTTACCTCATAATGAGAGAAGGGGCATGATATGGTGGAAGAAACACTGAATTTGCAGTTCAAAGACCTGAATTTGAATTCCAGATCTGCCCTTTGCTAGCTGTGTGACCCATGGCAAGTCTCTTGACCCCTTGGCCTGTTTCCTTCTCTATAAAATGGGAGGAGTTTGGACTAGATGATCTTTCTGCCCTTGATCTATGATCTTCTGGCTGACTAGTTTTTGTTCCTTTTTAGAACCTGTTCCGATGTCTAATTCTGCATTGTTTCTCTTTCTATCAGGTTGGAATTCTCATGGATTTGCCCTATAAATGTTCTTCACTTTTAAATCTTGGTTTGTCCTTTGTTCTCTCTCCATTTTAGTCTTTTTAAATGCATTAATAGAGTGATAAGGTTCATAATTCAGTTGGGTGCCTACCTAGATATTTGTCCCCATTGCCTCACCTCCCTGCTTTGTACGCATTTACTAGATAACATTTGGCTCAGATGTTTTAAACATCATTAGAGAGAAATTTGGTTGTGTAAAATAAAAAGCAGCATTTCTGTCAAACTAGGGAGATTTTATGGAAGAAATATTTGTAAGGGTCTTAGGTTTCCATGTTGTGGGTCCTGTCTCCACCAGTATGGACTGTAGTCCCTTTGTACCTTACTGATTATCTTCATCAATTGCTGGGGCTTAAAAAACAATTTTAAGAGTGGCCCACTCAGTAATCATTCTTTCTCCACCACATGCTGGTCCTCACCCAGGAGATGTCGAGTCCTCTGCTAGGCCTCTGTTCAGAGCTTTTGTGGCACAATGGGACTGGAAATACAGTTCCACTGGTATAACCCTACTCAAGGTCCCCCCACAGTTAGCATCACAGAAAGACATGACAATTATAGTGCTTGTTCTCTGAGAGTGACCCCAGAGGAATGCCCAGAAAGGGCCTTTAATTTGTTACTTTGTTTGATCTTCAAAATAGTCTTATGGAGTAGGACTTGGTTTTCTCTTCTGTAAAATAGAGTTGATAAATTTTGTACTACCTACCTCATGAGATTTTTATAAAGGGGAGTATTTTGTAAAATATTATATAAATGTGAACCCCTCTTAGTGTGATCTGAGGGCTAATTATTAAATAACTTATCACTAGTAAATGGTGGAACTTGAACTCAGTTCCTCTAACTTAATCTAGGTTTCAGAACAGCTTAAATACATTTACTAATTATATATCTATAATGGATTACTAAGAGGAACTGGGCCATTTGAAAGTTTGTCTCAAACCTTCCATCCCTTGAGTTAGGTGGATACTTGGCTCCACCTCATATGTGCTTTTATCTAAACTATGGAGAGCCAGTCTAATTTATGAACTCTTCCATCCTGGATGATGTCTTTAGTGTTGGAGTGGATGGCAAAGACTGCTTCTGCATAGGTAGGATGAATTTGACGCCAGAATTGTGGAATGAACCGTTTTCTTTTCTGTGTTTTCAGACATCTTCAGCAAGCAGCAAACCACCAGGGAAAGGGAATGTGATGAGCAATTTTTTTGGGAAAGCTGCTATGAGTAAGCATGTCTCTGTCTTCCTAGATGCTTCTGCTAATGAATAGATTTCTATTAAATTTTTATTTTGACCTGTGGTTTCATTAGTGTGGCAGCTCCCTGTTATACAGGCTCCCTCTGCCATGCAGACCAGTAGCTTCTCTGGAAATTAGCTGAGTTAGAATGTTGCTTGTGTCCTGGAGCAATGATGTGACTTGAGTGGGATGATGCAGCCAGTGTGTACGTCAGAGACTGATTCCAGACTCCTCTATCCACTACACCAGGTTGCCTCTAGATAATGATTCTTTACCTTTTTGGGGTCATGGGCCCTTTTGGGAGTCTGGTGAATTCCATGGACCTCTTCTCAGAATATTTGTAATTGAAGAGAGGCCTAAATTTTAGTTAGAGAATAGTACAAATAAAGATGTAATTTTTTTCCCATCCAAGTATGGACCCCCTGAAATCTATCTACAAACCCCCACACATCGGTCTCAGGTGAAGAACCCCTGATCTAGTTCAGCCCCCTTATCTTAAAGACAATGATACTTCTCTTCGGTATCGTTTGGTCCTTTATGATTTCCAAAGCACTTTGCTTACAGTATAATTACAGTAACCCAGCAAGTGGGTTATTCCATTTGATAGATGAGGAAACTAAGGCTTAGAGACAGGAAATCATTTGCCCGGTACCTCATGTCCAGTGAGTGTCAGAATTGGGATTTGACCCTACATTTCCTGACTCCAGATGGAGTGCACTTTCCATCGTACTATGTTATGAATGAGGTCATGCATAGGTGGCAAATCTGTTCTTCTTTTCCCTATGACCTTTTATACCAATCTCTTTGTGCAGCAGAAAAGAGAGGTATGCAATCAGCAGTCCCCCCCCCCCCCACATTTGCATCTGTATAACTTCTAGCTAAAACTACCATTTGCAAAACCTAGTGCTGCTTTTAGAGTTTCCCCTTTGTCTTATGCCAGGGCAAAGCAAACTCAGGGCCACCATGGCACCTGACATTTTTTTTGTGGTGCCCGGTATTCAGAATGGACTTTTGGATAGGGCAGGTGGGTTGTTTAAACCCACCAGGAGAGTGGCCTGGCTATGTTATATTGGCACTGTTCCTATTGGAAGGAGACCTTAAAGTGGGATGGGGGTTGTGGACTATCTTAGATATCAGTAACTCCATCTTCTATATCTCATCTTTAGAGAAGTCAGAAATCCTGATCAGAGTGAGGATTGGAAAGACAACTCCAGGTGGAATTGAGATCTAGATTTAAGGATCAGTCATGGGATTTTTAGGGATACCCCTTACCCTCTTTGAGCTTTGGTTTTCTCAGCCATAAAATGGATAATAGTACTACTTACTTTCTAGGGTTGTTGTGGAGAAACATATTTTTTGCTGTGGAAATGTAATTTTTTTTTGTTAACATAGTTATGATAGAACTTCAAAGTTAGAATCCTCAGAAGTCATCTAGTATAATTTTTATTTTTTTAGTGCTCGAATCACCTCTACAACATCCCCCCAAATGGTACTGTCGTCTCTGCTTGCTGGTGCTGAGCAAGCCCCAAGGCAGTTCATTCTGCTTTTGGATGGTTAATTGGTAGGCAGGTCTTCATTTTGCTGCTCTATAATCTGTCTCCCTGATCTCTCATCATTTTTTCTCATGAAGGTAAAGGGAGTTGTCAGCCTCAACAGGTAGAGGAGACTTCAGCCAGCTGAGACAGAAAATGCCTTACACATGTTGAAGCTAAAATATTAGGTTCTCTGCTTGTTTATGTGTAAAATCTAATATATTTTTTGCGTCTTTGTTGAAATGTGCCTGCCATGTAGTTGTACAGGCAGCCCACCCAATTGTCCATCAGTAGGTATGTCTTAGACAATTGATATAGACAGACAGTGATCCGAGCCAAGAATTGAGCAAGAGGCAGAGATCCAGAAACCCCATATTTAGAAAACTGCATAACGCTTTCATTGATCCCCAACTGTTCGCTGCTCTTTAACACTAATATTCCTCTAATGAGACCTGTGAATTACAGAAAGTCCACACTCATAGAAAACTCAGATTTTCCAGGTACTCACAGGGCTACTATAGCATGCCCATGACTTCCATGTGAAAAATGACAAAATAGATTCTTGAGAACAGGCATTACTGGAAAATGGGTGGTTCATTTGTGAAGCTAAAAGGAGAGATAAAGGATGGACAGCTTGAGTGCTACCTTGATGCCTCTGAGAGAATCATTAGGTCTTCAGGATTTTGAGTGACTCCTGTAGAGGATTTAAGGAAAGAAGGCATAGAAATCAGTGATCCAGGAAAGTGTCACTGTCACTGAAACATACGTTTTGAAAAATACGTCTCCACTTTTGGTCTGGCTTTAGGCCCAAAACAAATTTGTTGAGCCCAATTTTATACTGTATTCAGGGTGGTTGGGGGGTTTTGTTTTTTGGTTTTTTACCCAGCCCAAGCTATCTCTGTCCGCAGTGTGCCAGGCTAGTCTGTATGCTGCACTGGTTTCCCACAGCTAGGCCCCATTGTTTGAATTTGTGTTTTGGTACATCCCTGAGGGTTTTTTCCCCCTTGTCCATCTTAATTTGCATTTGCCCTAGTTTGGTGCACTACACAATGGCTATTTGGGTATTCTTTTATCTTCTAGCCAATGGAATTATATTGTAACTAGTCTGTGCTTCAGGGCTGGTATTTGGGCTCTTTTCTAGGATCTACGTGTTGATGATCTTGCTTTGCTATTTAATGTTAATTGCAGTTCATTGGTGACACTTATGAGATTCCTTAAAGAGATCAAGTGTCAGGTCCCAGCCTTAAAGAAGACTAAACACTACCACTTCACATTTTAATTTGACCTGGAGTGTGATGCTGGAGCATTGCCACAATCCATCTTTCAGGTTCACAAAAGACTTCATGACTTGGTTTTCTTTTGGTTGTTTTCCTATTCCCTTGTCAATTCTTAATGGTCATTTGACATTTCATTGAGTGTTTACCATGGGGAAAACTCTTAACAAAATTTGGGAGTGACAGTGTTGGAAGTAGAGACCAGTGCCACAAATTCCAGATGTTTAACGAGATAAGATTTAATTTATATAAACATACAGTCCTTTGTTTAGGTTAAAAGAAATCAGTTATGCCAGTATAGAATGAGGGAGATGTAGTCAAATAGCATTTAAAAAAAAACTTAGGCATTTTAATTACTGTAAGCTCAGTATGACTTAGTTGAATGATGTGATTGCCAGAAGAGCTAATATGATCTTAGACTTCACTAATGGAAGTATAAAATCCAGTAAATTCTTACTGCCCTTTCCCCTGGTCATATTGTTTTGGGGATATTTTGTTCAGTTTCTCAGTGCCACATTTTGGAAGGGATGTTAGCAAAATCAACTATGTCCACAGAAGAGAGGGCAACCAAGATGGTGAGGGGACTTGAAAACATTTCATAGAAGATAAGATGGAGGGGCAGCTAGGTGGCACAATGGATAGAGTACTGGCCCTGAAGTCAGGAGGACCTGAGTTCAACTCCGGCCTCAGACCAAACGCTTGACAATTACTGGCTTTGTGATCCTGGGCAAGTCACTTAACCCCAATTGCCTTTAAAAAAAAAAGAAGATAAGATGGAAAGGACTGGGGGGTTAGGCCAGAGAAGAGAAGACATGAAAGGGGTGACTTGATTCCTGTCTTCAAAATTTTTAAAAGACTATTGTAGTCTTATCTATGTGGCTTCAGAGGGGAAAACCAGGTCCATTGGCTAGAAGATAAAGTGAAATAGGTTTAGGCTCGTTTTAAAACTTTGCAGAAATAGAATAGTCTACCTCGTTAGGTCATGCGTTCCTCATTACTGGAACAGTTCAAATGGGATGGATGACCCCTTGTTGGGGATATTGTAAAGTTTTGGTTATGAATTGTATTAGATGGCCTCTAGGGAGAACGAAGGAAAAAAGTTGAGGATATGGTTCACATGTATAAATGATAAAATTCTGAAAGATAGTGATTAGATTTCTACTGAAAAAGAGCTAAAACTCAGATATATGCTTAATAATACTGATGATTTATGAGGTGAAAGTATTGACTGGTGTGCTTAATTCCAGAGGTGATGATAAGGTAATTTACTATTGCCTGACAGAATAATATTGCCTTTCAATTATATATATAACTTACCCTGCTGTGTGCACAGATAAACTTAAAGTCAGTTTGGACTCCGAACAAGCAGTAAAGGAAGAAAAAACATTGGAACAACCTCTAGTTTCTGTCGCTGAACCAAAGCTGGCATGCACTGGAGGCCTGAAGAAACCCTACAAGAAAGTAGAGCCTGTTAAAATGCAGCAAAAGGAGAAAAAAAGGTAGGAAAGTTTTGTGGAGCTTGGAGGAAAAGCATCTCTGCTGGGGGCCAAGAGGTCTGAGCTTGAGCTTATTGACAGCAGTGGCTTTTAGCGGAATGGTGAGGCCTTCCTGGTACCCTAGGATAGATCCATATGGTCAGAATAATGAGCCCCAGTGTATCTTGTGAAGCCAACCCTTTCAGGCCTGGATCATTGTCTCCCCACCTTTATTTTAGTCTTGTAGACATAGCCTAAGAATACCTCATTTTTCTTTTCTTTTTTTGAACTTCAGATTGCCAAGTGAGGGTTTACTCAGGGATACTATTTCTAGTCAAGTTAAAGAGAAGACTTTCTGTGTTTACTTTTTCTATCAATGAGTTTATTTTTCAAGTGGTAAAAGGTAATTAGAAGAGAAACTAAAAAGCACGTAAGCTATTAAAAATGGGTCCAGGAGTTTGAGACGCTACCTCATAGTTGGTAGCAGTGAGTCTGTTGAGAGAACCTCTGAGCGCCTCCGTCAGGACCGATAGGCCCTAGAAAGGTCCGACTTTTGTGTGGAGGTTGGGGCTGTTTCTTTGCCAGACAGATGCCAGCCAGCTCTCCTGAGGTTTCAGGCTGAGCTGGAGCACTATCCAGGGGACTTCCCCTTGCTGTGCACAGGTGATATGGATGGACTACAATGTTCCCAGCTCACTGGGATGGCTGTTGCTGGTTCTGTAAGTGGGGCTGGCAGAGTTCCCAGGAGCGGGAGGTGTGGGGGAGAACTCTTGTGTACCTGTGGACTATCTCATTTACAAAGTGTATCGTGTAGACCTTGTGGTTTATATAGTCCTTGGTCATTGGGCTCTGTGAAAGAACAGGCTGCTGCTACCTTCCGGTTCGGGGTTGGGGGATCGGACGTCTAAGTCTCCTTCCACTCAACCCACGCCATCTTTTTTGTTCTCGGGGATGCTTTCAGCAACCTTTGAAGGCTTTTGGGGCTTGGCAGCCTTTTGTAAATTCATTCCCAATGCCACTAGAGTGTGTTTGATCACATCTTTGCCTCCTTCCCTCCATCGACCCAAGCCAGACATTGAGCTAGCAATACTTTACCATCTGTTAGGGAAAGGGTAGAAATATACTTTAGAGTACTTCAGAAATCATTGAATAGAGCGTCCCGGGGATATTACCTGAAGCTCCCTTTCTTTTTGGTCCATGTCTGTTCAGTTTAGCCTACAGATTAAGCACCACTGAGCCTTAGCATCACATAGTGTTTCCATCTTGCTCCTAGGAGCTCAGATAAGGGCATGCTTATTTTAGCTTTCCCCAGGCTTAACTCCATGAGATCCTGCAGGAGTTATTTAACATCTTCGGGACTCATTGCTCTCAGCTGTAAAATAAGGGGATTAGATAATTAGATCACTTCTAAGGTCTCTTCTAGACCTAAACCTTATCCTAATCCCTTCTCTCTAGAAGCCCTTGTGTCTGCTGAATTGATGAGCTTATAGCCGTATCTATGCCATAATAACAGAGGTCTTTCTATTTCTCATGAGTGGTTTGTATGTCATTACATATGCCCCTCCTTAAGGTACTAATTATGCACTTAGTATGATGGACTTATGTATTGTAATATTTATGAAAATAGCCGTGTGTGTGTGTGTGTGTGTGTGTGTGTGTGTGTGTGTGTGTGTGTGTGTGTGTAGTGTATTCAGTATTTTCCTCAAAACAATATGAGGTCAGAGAACATCCCATTTTACAAATGACGAAGCTGAAGCTCCGGACATAGGGGTAGTAAGTGACGAGGCCAGAATTTGAACTTAAATCTTCTTACTCCAAATCCAGTGTTCTTTCCTCTATATTAGTCTGTCACTTCGTCCAGAATACTTGAAAAGGTTCACTTTTTAACACACTTGTGAATTCATAGTTGGCTGTTTTGACACAAACAGGGTTATAATGGGTGATAATGGGAAAAGCATTGGAAAAAAGAGAGGAGCAAGAATGTAGATTTTAACAGTGATGATTCTATTCTGGTTCTCATGAAATTTTCCCATGAAATTTTTAAGGTGATTCTGAATAGGCTTCCTGGGAGAAGGGACCCTTGGGAATCGTCCTTTGAGGAGACTTCAGTTAAGAGACCGTTCCAGCCAATTACTTGTCTTCAGATACAGTTGCACCTAACCAGATAAATCCTGTTTTTTTTCCTAACAACCTCTGAAGAAAATTTGTTATTTACATTTATATAAAGGATTATGAAGTTCTTAAAGCTTCAGGATCCATATTTGTACATGTTTTTTATCCCTTGCAGTGCTTGTCACTGCTTGAATATTCATTGAATGGATGAGAGGGTCTAGTAAGATGCATAGGAGAAGTAGCCCTAGAGAGGATTGGAAAGGATAGTGAGAAGGAAAGTAGAAACTCCTCTGATCAGCTTTGAGCCCTTCTTCTGGTCTTGGGATGGCAATGGCAGTGCAAGTCAGTTTTAGTTGTACTTAAATAACTGTCTAGTATTCTTTCAATCCTAATCTTGTTAACTTGCACCTACTTTTCACTCTCTGGTGCTCATTTCATGGACTTTATCAAGCGGGACTGATGGACCATTTCAGTATGAACATTTGAGCCAATGGATTCTTGCCATATGTAGCATTTTCTGTTTTTGAAAGCAAAGGCACTTACTGAAATACAAACAAACAAGAAAAATATTCCCCTCTCAACCTGGGATACACTATCTCACAAATAATACGCAAAGAGCTCGCTCACAGCTCGCCTTAGTGGAGAGGCACACAGGTAGGGAGAACAGATCACCAAGGCAGCTCACTGGCTTGGCACTGCAGGCTGCTCTAGGGTCCTTCTGCTGCTCCTCTTGCACACTCTGCATCTGCTAGGTGGTAGATGGCTTCCTCAGCTGCCCCTCTCTGCAGCTGAGTCCTAGTCATCGGGGTCGACTCTCTCCTCACCAGCTGCTCTTCTGAAAGACACCGTGATTGTGGGTGGGCCAAGCAGAAGAGGTACAAGGGAGGTGGTGAGAAGAAACATACTCATTTTTATTCTTGGATGACAATAGGGGAAAGCGGGCAGAACTCTCTGATGATGAAGCAAAAGAAACTGAAAACCTGAAGAAAAAGAGGAGGAGAATTAAACTTCCTGAATCAGACAGCAGCGAAGATGAAGGTAAGAATTATTCATCTTGGGGCTGTGGAATTGAATCTTTGCTATGGTTGTTCATTTTTTGGTCACTTTACTATATGGCTATCTAGGCTCTAAAAGTAGCTTTATTTTAGGTATAATTTAAGGTATAATAAGGTTATTAGGGGCCTAGTTAGTGGCTTATAGTTATGGCTCTCTATAGAATTCTTTCCTTAGAAAACATGTCTTATTCTTGTTCAGATTGAAATAGTTAGAAATTATTTTAGACTCCTGGTTAAGAAAAGCAAAGAAGCAAACACAATTCTTCCAGCTGGATGGTGGGATAGCACATGTATTTGAATCCTGGACTACTCTTTCTGAGGAATTCCTTCTCCCCTAGTAGACTTGTACCCTGGGTTACGTGTGTTCTTCACCTTTCCTGACCCAGGGAAGGAACAAAAATCCCTTCTTCCTTAAAATTAATGGACAAACAGTAAGGACACAAAATCTAACTTTTGTTGTTCATTCATTTCTGACTCTTTGTGACCCCATTTGGGATTTTCTTGGCAAAGATACTGGAGTGGTTTGCCATTTCCTTCTCCACTTCATTTTACAGATGAGAAAGCTGAGGTAGACAGGATTAAATGACTTGCCCAAGGTCATAACCACTAGTAAGTATCTTGAGGCCATATTTGAACTCAGGAAGATGAGTCTTTCTGACTCCAAGCCTGATGCTCTATCCACTGTGGCATCTAGCTGCTTAATAATATTATTTGACTATTAACTATTATTATAATGGATTCACATAGCTTTGAAAAAACTGAAATAGCTTTCCAATATGCAAAAATGGTTTTTTATCATTGGAGAACTTTTTACCCCCCCTCTGAAAATTGTCCTTAGCCCAGCTAAACTAAAAGGAAGACTCATTACAGTTACACACACAGTTGTTCAGCAAACAAAAGCCTAAGTATAGATAGAGATGCTCTTAATTTCCTGGGGGAAAGAATTCTTGCCTCAAAACTTCTTGTCTTGGATAACTTCTGATGATGAGCCTGTCTAAATGCAACTAGGCCAGTTCCTAGATGACAGACACCCTGTCCCTTGCTGGGCCCATATTTGAAGACTTCTCAGCTTGCTAGAGGACTGTGCTTAACCGGGACCCCATTGAGAACCAAGGGTAGCTTCATGCCTTAAGAAGGCATCGAAGGAGTGCTTTAGTGGAAAATTTTTTCAGTTAGTGAGCTCAAAACTCTGTCAACATTGGCTGGTTAGTCCCTAAAGCCCACCTGTGAAGAAAGTAAAAAATGATTCCATTTTGCCAGTAGGGAAATGAGATTAGGAGAGCTCCATGGAGCTATGAATGAACTCAAGAAGTTCTCATTCCATCTCCTCTAGACACCAGAGTGGATTACAGTTCTATAGCACCTAAAATAGTAAGCCTGGAGAAAAGAAAACTTAAATGACATTATAGTTATTTTTAAACATTTGTAGAGCAAACAAGGGGAAGAGGCATTAGATTGGTTCTTTTTAGGGTACAGTGAGGAACAGTAGAGGAAAATTGGAGAAATGTAGATTTTTGACTTGATGAGATTTAAAAACAAAACAAAACAAAACATCCTAACACAGTTCTCCAGAAGTGAAATGGGCTAGCTTGAAGGTAGGTTCCCCATCATTGGAGGGCTTCAGGTAGAAGTTGGGTGGCCATTTATTAGAGATATTGCAAAATGATTCCTTTTCAAGAATATGTGGAACCAGGTGAGGTACTTGGGGAATCTTGAGGTTTTGTGGGGGCTTTTCTGTTCTGTGATTTCCTCAACACTGGAAGGATTCAGGTCGAGGCTGGATGATAGTTTTGTTATAGATTGTCAAGATGATTTATTCTTCATACTGGAATTGAACTGGAGGAGCTTCCTGGTCCCTTCTAACAATTTTGTCATTGCTGTGTTATCTAATGCTAAAAAACCGTATACGGATAACTTAAATAAAATCATAGCAGTGTACAATTCTGGTTTTTTAGCACTGAAAAGTCAATAGAGTGAATTGTTCTCTTGATAAGGATGTTTTTAACTTGAAAAGTGATTGGTTAGGTATCTTGTTTTAGTCTAAAACAAGCTAGTTTAAAAAACCTAGAAATAGATTGTAGGAATGAATCATTTCATTAAGCTATTAAGTGGCTTTTCTTTGACTGCTTCAGTTCAGCAAATATTATTTTGAAAAATATATCATTGAATTTTATTTTCCATTCATGTTCTTAGAATAGGTATTTCTGGGAGCTCTTTGGATTTTCATGCCAAGTCATTCAGGGTGTTAAATTCCAGTGGTAGGAAATTGATACCAGTTCTCTGAATGTGGCCAGAGAGCTGTCTTCTGAAAGAATTTCTCCAGATAATCTTTGGGTAAATTTGTTTGTTTTATGAAAATCAAAACTCAGGAGAACAGAACTAGAAGCAGTGAGTAGAAGCTTCAAAGAGGTGCACGCTAGCTTGATGTCAGGAAAAGAGATTCCTGACAATTAAAGCTGTACCAAAGCAGCATGCTCTTTCTTGGGATGTCATCAGTTCTCCTCCTTGGATGACTTCAAGAAGAAGTGACATGGTCATCAGTTCAGCTTGTTGTGCCTTGGTTAACTATGGATTGGATTGGAGAGCAGCTGAGATTCTTTCTAATTCAGGCTCTGGTGATCTTGCTTTTGTCTTATAAGCAGTAAAAAACAGGAGGCTTAGGAGAATGCTCCCTAAACTCTAAATGTGGACATCAGTGAAAAGTCACTTCTGCCCTGGAAGTTCCCACCACGGAGAGCCCCACACACCAGATGAAGAAGTGGCTTTGATGTTTTTATGTTTTATAGCAATCTTGATGAAGTTCTCAAAAATGCCAGAGCCGCCAGTTTGTCGTGTAGCTATCATCATGTAGTTTCTTCATTCTCCAGTCCCAAACAAACTTGTTCATTGCTTCTAGCACTCACTTTCCTGACGTAGCAGCATGCAGGGGAAGACACCAGATGCAGTTGGGTCAGTGGATCAAAATGTCGTAGGAGGTGGTTCGGGGGAGCTCTATAGGGATTCCTCTCCCTGAGAGATGGCCAGGAGGTCTGAGGGGACTGCTGGGAGAAAGGCCTCTAACAGCTGGTTGTTCTTTTGAGGGATTCAACTGTCAGCCTATTTAATTATTTTTCTTACATGTAATTTTGGTTAATAATGTATAGTTTTCTGGAGGCAGAGAACATTTTCAGTCATTTTGGTATGTGTATGTGAGTTGTTTTTTTTGAACTTAAAACACCAAAAATAATGGCATTTCCTTACATATAGCAGAACACAAAGATGAAACCATGAGTCTCTATTTCATACCACTTGTTTTTTTTTAAAGCCTATAATAAATTCTACATATTACTTTCAAAACTGCTTGCTTCTAAGATTCCTTCTCTTCTGAGGATTAAAAAAAATGTTTCAATGGCCTTCTCCTCTTCCTCCTTGTTTTCCAATAAAAAATAATTTAAAAAAAGGTGCCAGCAAGATAGAGAGGACTCACTAGCAGCTAAGACTAAAAAAGCAACAGTCCCAAGGACCCTCTTCAACAACAATAAATGCAAAGTTTCTCCCTGTCTGCTGGATGTAGAATCCGACTTCCAAGGAGGCAATAATGAACACACAAGGTTTTTAAGAAGTGGAGGCCGGAAGCCTGGAGCATCACTGTTGCTAACTCCTTCTCCCTTCAACCCCAATTAAAAACTGAAAGAAAAAATAAAGTCCTTGTAACAAGCACAGTGAAGCAAAAACAAATTGGCGTATGTCCAAAAAATAGGACTCTGTACCTCGTGTCCATCTAGAAGTAGATGACGTGCATCCATCCCAGGTCTGTTGATCAGAGTTCTCAAGTCTTTCAAAGGTGTTTTTCTTTACAGTGTCACTGTCCTTGTATAAACTGTTCTCCTGGTTCTGCTTACTTTACTCCTCATCAGTTCATAGCACCTAAGATTCTTTGAAATTTCTTTTGCTTATGACTGCACCCTCCCAGGCGTTATCCTCCCTCTCCGCTTTGTCTCCCTGTTGAATTTGGTCTTTTTCTACCCCAGACTGCCAGTGTTTGATGTATTCAGCACTCCTTTGTCCGTTTCAGAGAAGAGTAAGGCTCTTCTAGTACCCCCTCCGCCTACCTTGTCTTCCATAGTTGTATACTTTTCTTCTCACGTACTCCATCTATGAGAAGTTGGCAAGTTCCATGCCCTTCTTTTCTATATTCTGTATTCTTTTTCCCCTCCCTAGAGGCAGCTAGGTAGAGCCATAGTGCACAGAACGCTGGGCTTGGAGTCTGGAAGACTTCAGTTCAGATATGGCTTCAGATACTTCCTAGCTGTGTGACCCTGGGCAAGTCACTCAACCCTATTTGCCTCAGTTTCCTCCACTGTAGAATGGGGATAATAACAGCATCCCTCACAGAGTTGTTTTGGGGTTCAAATGAGATAAATTTATAAAAAGTTTTTATTAAAGCAGTGACTGGCACATAGTAAACGGTATAAATGTTTCTCCTCTTCCTCTTCCCTTCTCATTTTCTTTGCCCATTTAAAACTCTCAGAACAGAACTAAACTAATCATCCCCAAGACCTCTGTTGTGTTTTTTTTTTTTAAGTTTGTGGCCTTAATATCCTTTGAAGATATTAAGGTTTTGAAGGACACTTTTTTTCTCTTGTTAGAATGTTAGTGTTCTATCTTCTTAGCAGCTCCTTGTATTTGCTTAAATAAATTTACCATTCTAGGTTTCTCTGGACTCTGTGTATGTGTGTGTTTGTGTTTGTTTGTTTGTTTTAGGCAATTGGGGTTAAGTGACTTGGGTCACACAGCTAGTAAGTGTTGAGTGTTTGGTCTGAGGCTGGATTTGAACTCAGGTTCTCCTGACTTCAGGGCTGGTGCCCTGCGCCACCTAGCTGCCCCCAACTCTCTTTGTGTTTTTAAGTGCAAGATTTAGTGTCAAAAAGACCTGAGTTCACATGTGGCCTCTCATTTAATAGCCATGTGACTGGGGGAAAGTCACTTAATCTCTCAGTCTCAATTTCCTCATTTATAAAATGGGACTAATAATAGTACCTATGTCACAGTTGCTTTGAGGATCAAATGAGATAACTTAAAAAAAAAAGCAACTCTTCGCAAACCTTAAAGGGCTATATAAAGTGTTGTTTTTATTATTAATTCATTTATTCATTTACTTGTTTTTATTTACTTATTTGTTTGTTTATTTCCCCAAAGTTCCTACTCAGCTCTGGTCATTTCATCAGAATGCATAAAATCCTCTTTTTCCATTAAAGGCTGATTTTTGTCCTGTAGCTTTGCAGACTAAATTATTTTTGATTGTCAGCCTAGATCTCTTTTACCTTTTGGAATATTTTAATCCCAGCATCTGCTGGTTTTTAGTAGAAGTGGTCAGGTTTTGTTTGCTACCAGCCATAGTTCCCTAGAACTTGAGTTGCTTCTTTCTGAAAGATGATGGTATTTTTTCTTTGAAGTGGGTCCTTTTTGGAGTTAACATTCCTAGAACTTTTCCTTTTGGGGTTCCTTCCATGAGTCCTTGTTACCTACACTTTGCCCTATGGTTCTAATAGATCAGCAGTTTTCATTTACAATTCCTTGAAATGTATTGCTATTATTTAGATTATTTTAGTCATGGCTTTCAGGTAGTCCAGTGATTTTAAAATTATCTCTTCTTGAGCCATTTTCCAGGTCAGTTGTTTTTTTTGATATCAGGTATTTTATATTTTCTTCTGTTTCAGAAAGATTTTAAAAAGTCTTTTCTGGCATTTCTTGCTGTCTCATGGAGCCGTTGTTGTTTATTCTAGTGTCCAGGGAGACCCTTCTCAGTGCTGCCCCACAGGGTTGTTCCTCACTTGTTCCCTCTCTCTTTGGGCTTCCAAAGCCCTCACCCTGGGGTTTTCTGATCACTTCTGCTGCCTCCATACACACAGAGCTTTGCTGGCCCCCAGTGTCACCAGCCTATCTCTGGCTGTACTTTGCTCTGGGAGGTTACCCTGGACAGCTGACCCTTTTCTTATTGCCCTTCATCTTCTAGCTGACTTCTTGGGCATTTGGGGAAGTGCAAGAAGTCACTGTAGTTTCCCATTGCATTTCTTGATCGTTATTCAGTCTGGTGGGAGCTTGAGGATTAGGCTGGAGAGGTATGTGGGAACCAGGGAGTGTCTCCCTGTTCAGGCAGCCATCTTGACCAAAACCATCTCAGCAAACGTTAAGTGACTGCTGTGTACAGAACACTGTGCTAGGAACCGGGGAAAGACTACTAATATACATTAATAAGTGACACATTAGAAAAACAAAAACTAAAGTGTGATCCAAGTTCTGAGAAGGGGGAATGGTTATGGTTGGGTCATGTAACGTGTTTTCTTCCCCTTCTGGGAAGAAAAATAAAACATAAACATTGTGGTTTGTCCATTTTAGCCCCTTTACCTTCAGGGAAATAAGTTTGGTTCTCTGCTTTCTTTCTCCGTACTTGAACGACTTATTCTGTTGTAGCTGTTTAAAGTCCGATATCCTTCTGGGCAGCATCCATCCCATTGTGGTTCTGTATCTTTTATTCCAAAGTTTACTGTCTCAGTTCATACTTGCAGTAGATAATTTATGGTTTTGTGTTGGCTGCTGCTCAGTCTTCTTCACCTCTGCAGGTCATTTGGCCTAGTGCCCTGCGTGGTCATAATTTTTAATACTGACTGACCTAATCAGTGGGGAGAATAGTAGATCCAGATTTTGTGTTGAGTTTGAATCCAGGCATGAGATTCAGGAAGCAGGTGAGGCAAAACAGCTACTCAGTCCTCTGTCCAAGAATTTCATTATGCTGATTGAGCAATAGGTCAGGTGAGGTTTTTTGACTTTTCCACTCATGGGCTTTGCACATTTGCTAACAGATGGGATCTCCTCAGTGATGCTGTCCTTCATTTTCATCTGATAGAAAGGCTTCCCTAGGCTAATGCTTTCCCTCTGAGATTACCTTCATTTTACTCTGCAGAAGTCTTATATGCACACAATTTTTTACATATTGTTTTCTCCATTACAGTGAGAGCTCCTTAAGAGGAGAGAACCTTTCTATATATCCTGTGCTTAGCCCGATACATGGTACACAGTAAGCACTTAATAGATACTTACTGACTAGCTGATCAATCACGTCTTCCCCTAACAATCTCTCTCCCTTACTAATTTCAGTGTAGAACATTCTTCCCAGGTGAAGAACAGAGGGGCCATGAGAAGCTTCCTCCCATGGGAGCAAAATCAGCATGGAGGGAAGAGAGTGCTTCGAGTTTGGAGAGCTGAGTTCAAGACTGTATTCTGCTACTTCCTAGCAGTGTAGCCTTGACCATGTCATGGCCCTTCTCTAGATTTTAGTTTTCTCCTCTGTAAAATGAAAATTTGGATTAGATGATCTCTTAAGGTCCCTTCCCTATTACCACAATAATAATAATTGATGACATTTATATATAGCCCATTCTTGCAAAATGCTTTGCATATGTTATATAATAAGGTCCCTTCTAGTTCTGACCCTCTGGGTAATATGTTCTAATGTATAATTGTTTTAATTCAACTCTGACATTCTATAAATTTAAATCTTGACTCATAAGCTACAGGTTCCAACCATAGCCATATGATGATGTCCTGTTGGGGAAAGACCCCAAGCAGGCCTTGTTTGCCCCACACTATGCTTGCCAGTGGCATGCATCCATTCAGTGCATTCTGTTGTTTATATGTTCCCTTCATGTATATAAAGGTCAACTTAAATGTACAACCTCCTGCTTGCTTTCTGACTGGTAAGAAAAAAGACTTGTGTACTTTTAATATTATTTGTATGGTGCCAACGACACGTGCAATTTTTTCTTTTTTCTTTTTTCTTTTTTTTTTTTTTACAATTTTTATTAATTTTGAACTTAAATACAAAAAAGAACATTCCCTTGTACACAGCACAGCTTAAAAAGGATTCCATATAAAACCATGAATTTCCATTTCACACTGTTTGCTTTTTTTGAAAAACTGTAATAAAAACTGCACACTTTCATAGCTACCCTGCTTTTCTGTGCTTCCTTCTAAGTTTTCTTTTGTTCTCTGCTGTGCACCTTTTATTTTTTTTCTCCCTTCCTCCCTACACTGCTCTAGAGAAGGTTCTGTTAGACACAAATATGTTTATATATGTAAAACCATACTATACATACTTCTGTTTACCAGTTCTTTCTGTGGATGTGGATAGCATCTTCCTTCATAGGTCCTCTGTAGTTGATCTGAGTACTTAATAATACTCAGAATGATTTAGTTGTTCAGAGTTGTTCTTAGAACAATATTGCTGTCACTGTATACAACTTTTTCTTGGTTCTGCTCATTTCACTCTTCGTTATTTCATGCAAGTTTTTCCATGTTTTTCTAAAATCAGCCAACTCATCATTTCTAACACATGTAATTTTTAAGAGAAAATGGCCAGAAATCCCATTATTGGACCTAGTAAAGTCAAGTGTAAGCAGAAGACCATTTACTGGAGAGTGCATCCAGTTCTCATATGTCTAATTGGTTTTCATTGTAGTTATGCCAGAATCTCCAGGGGCTTATGAAGCTGAGTCACCACCTTCAGGTCCTCCTCAATCTCCCATTCCTGAGCCAGCCCCGAAAACTGAGCCAGAGCCTCCTTCCATCAAGGTAAAATGTCTATGGCTGGGACTTGCTGTTGCCTTTCAGTCTGCCTTATTCATCCAAGGTTCTAAAGTTTCCATAGCACTGTCTCTGCCATATTCTACATGCTATTTGGATAATTGTGGACAAGTCAACACTGAATCTCAGTTCCTTCATCTGTAAAATGGGAATGATAGTTTCATTACTGACCCCATAGGATTGTGAGGAGAGTGCTTTGTGAACGTTTAAACATGGTATAAGTAGTTGTTGCTGCTCCTCTTATTATCATCATGAATTATTCTTCAATTGAAGAAGGCCTTTTTTATTAACTATCTATATTTATATGCCCTTAAATAATTGTAGGCCTGCTGTCTGCCCACTGAGCCTAGAGTTGTGCTACACCTGTTCCCTTCTCTTAGATTGGAGTTTTTGGCAAGGGAGAATGAGATGGTCTGGACATGAATCCTTGTTTTGCTATGTGTGACCACTTGCCCAAAAGACAGAGTAGTGGGAGGAATAAAGAAGGCAAATTCAGTTAACTCATTTTTATTGCATTCTGACAACTCTCCAGTAAGAAGGTTGAGAAGTACAATAGTTTAGCAAATAGGAAAAGAATAATAGCTGATACTAATCTATTATAGGCTCAGAGATTTACAGCTGGGCTAGTCTTCAGCAGCCATTGAGTCCAGCCCCTTCATTTTACAGATGAATAAACTGAGGCCTCACATAGTTAAGTGACTCACCCAGGGTCATATATCAAGTAAGTTGTAGAGCAAGGATTTGAAAGCCAGACCTTCTGCTGCTAAAACCAGGGCTCTTTCCACTGTCCTATGCTCCCTCCTCTTCTTTTGTGGATTTATAAAGTACTTAATGTAAATAGCTTCATTTGACCCTCACAACAGATGTGTGAGAGGAGCAGAGCAGATTCTATTGTCTTCCTCTTGGCAAATGAAGAAGCTGAATCTCTAAGAAGTTAATTAAAACATTCGAAGTCACTTAGTAACTGGTAGAGCTGGAATTCTAACCTAAATCTTCTGACTAAGCCAAGTCCTAAAATTTTGGGTGTCTGCTTTCTATTCTGTATTATCTGTGTTTTCGATAAATTCATTATTTCTTACTTGGACTTTTTCAGTACTCTCCTAAGTGGTCTTCCTGCTATCTAGTCTCATCTCTCTCCAATCCATCTTTCATCAGCTTTCAGAATGGTCTTCCTAAAGTACATGTCTGATCATGACATTCCTACTCAAGAATCTTCGGTGACTCCCTATTGCCTAGAGGATCAGTCAGTCAGCAAGCACTAGGGACTCAGTATATAGACTGCTGAACTCTAGCCCAGGATAGAAGCCAGACAGTCAGTAAGCACGTAGTGCCTACTATATGCCAACTTTCTGTGGTCCAGACAGACTGGCCTTCTTGCTCTTCCTCACACATGACATGCCATTTCCTGCTGCTCTCGGTGCCTGCACTGTATACTGTCCTTCCTTCTGTAGAATCATAGAATTCTTCCTCCTGTTTCCAGGTCAGAAGTATTCAGTGGCTTAGTTTGTAAACTACTGTCACTCTTTTGGGATTATTCATCTATCAGTGAGTTATAAAATTTGCTTTGTCATTTTTGATCCTTCAGGCCACGAGTGGAGAAAAGAAAAGAAAACGGAGGAGAGTATTGAAATCCAGAACCTTTGAGGATGAGGAAGGCTGTATCGGTAAGAGGCGTGAGGTCCCCAGATACAGGAAGGATGGCTGATCCTGAAACGGGATGGTGTGTGTTTTCAAACAGATAATTGAGATTAGCTGAGTTACCAGTGAATTGAGAAGGGTCAACAGAAAATTGTGTGGCCAGGAGCCTCCTCCTTCTTCTCCCTTCATTTGTTCTTTCAAGAAGGGCATTTTTTCTTCCCAGGGTCTTAGCACCTGAGAGGTCAGCTAGTCCCCCTCTCTCATTGCATGGGCAAGGGAGCTTAAGCCCAGAGAGGTGGTGACTTGCTCATGGTCACACAAGTCATAAGTGGCAGGATTCCAGATTTGGGTTCAACTCCAAATCCAACACTTCTTCCATTGCATCATCCAGTTTTCCTTTGATTTTGTGTTCTTATTTTGAGGGGTCATGAGACAAAATAGCAAAAATAATAAGATAGTAGATCATGTTTCTTCTGCCCCATGAGGAAAGAAATCTGAATATTCTTACTCTTGCTGTCTAGAGTGGTGCTCTGTAGGCCCTCTAGGTGCTTGGAAGGAGCTATGATTCTTTTAGTGTGGACGAGGACTTAATAGATGGAAAAGCTTCACTAGCGATCAGCCTTTCCAAGATGAATGAGCCTCTCTGAGTTCACCACATTGGTCCTTGGGTATAGGCCACCCTCCTGCACCCCCTGCCCCAATCCCTGGCCCCTGTTGGAAGAATCGTTTGTTATTTAGTGGAGGACTTGCTAGTCCCCTGCCCTCCATGAGCATAGCGGTCAGGAGCTGGCTTCATCATGCATCTCAAGAAATAAGGCCTTTACACAAGTGACACTTCATTTTGATTGCATGAATTTTACATAAAACCTTTCAGATTCTCAGTCTTTCTTAAATGACTTGTTCATGGTCCTACAGCTGTTTAACTCTTTAACTCAGGTCTGAGCTGCAAGTTGTTTGCCAGTTATTCTAGCAGGGTTTTCCTTTGTCAGTACACTTCCCACAGTTCAGTTAAGCAGAGAGTTATTAAGCACCTACTGTTCAAAAGGCACCGGGCTCAAATAGGAGTTCTTTCTTGTGTGCCCTTGTTAGCTGTGTGACCTGATACCCAGTGAAGTTTCCCATATTTCAGCTTTTCTACATATGGAGAGTTATAGAATTTGCCCATATCTCTTCCACTGATCTTGGTCCAAGTAACCCAGGTTTCCTAGTCCTGATAGAGACCATGTACATAGTCAGTGTGGTGTAGGCACAGGACCATACGTGGAATCAGGAGATTGGCGTCTTGGTGCTTGTCTCTGCCTTCAGCTAGCTCTCTGACCCAAGACAAGTTGCTTAACTTCCAGGGGCTCTAGTTTCTTCTGACGGATGGAAATCATAATTCTTTTAGCAAGTAGTGCAAATGTTATTGTGAGAAAAGAGGTTTATATACTCTAAGGTGCTATGTAAATATGAGCTAATTTATTTACATGATTAGTACCCTTACCACTTAATTCAACTTGACTCTACCAGAGAAATTCTTTTCTGCCTTCTAGTTTTCATTTTAAAATTCAGATGTCTGTGGAGCCCTGCCATAGGAGAGAAAGCTTTTTTTCTAGGAAGGCAGCTATTAGCTAAGCTACTCATTACCTTGACCAAGTTATTTAACTTTTTCTGGGCCTTGGTTTTTTCCCTCTGTAAAATGAAGAGATTGGACCAGAGGACCTATAGATTATTTCAGTCCTAAATTCTATGATCCTAAGTCTTTCCACATTGTCCATTTCCTGCTGCATTATTTGCTGTCTGGAAAAGTGCCCTTTAAATCTTAATTGCTATGTATGCTGTTAGAAAGTAGTATTTGTTAATTACCAAAACCTGTCCTCTGTTTTTAGACTTTGTTTTTCAGTGCCTTTTTAAACACTATGGTTTCATCATTAATGGGTGTGTGTGTGTGTGTGTGTGTGTGTGCGCGCGCGTGCTTTTATATTTTCTGGTCTTCTCCCCCCTTGAGAAAGAAAAAAAGGAGAAGAGAGGTGGGACACACTTGGGCTAGACCTTCTCTTTCCTAATGCCAAAAAGAGAAGCAAAATAAAACATGGCTATGTGAGGGAAATGAGTTCACTGGAGGGTGGTAGCAAATTACTTGTCGCTTTGTTCATAGCCTCGCTCTTCGGTTTTGGCCAGGTGCATACTGTGGGCCTTTTTGCACTCCTCGTCCAGACAGGATTGTTAAGAGCCTTGGATGCAACAATGAAAACTGTGCTCCTCCAGGGGAGTGTTTTTTCCTCCTGAAATGTTTGAGTCCAGAGCTCAACCTAATGCATCTTGGCTCCTGTTACCAACAAAGGAGTTTTGCTTTTCTCCCTCTGCTCAGCCTGTTCTGAACGTACCAGCACAAGGGGGCTTGTCCTTTCCTGTCCCTGATCAAAGTTTGTCCTGGTGGTTTTAAATGACCAGCCTTTCCTTTTAAATTCATTTAGTAGCAGAGGCAGGGACTTAGCCCCCTGAGATGTATTCGGAAGGTTCCCCTCCCCCAGGGGGAAGGGGAAGGCCAGGCGTGTGGATTTCTAACTGCAGACAAGTTGGTAAGGAAGAAATCAGATGTTATCCACACAAATGGTGCATTGTTATGGCAGCTCAGAAAAGCAGCACATGCAATATGCATTACTAGCTACAGGAGGGCATGATGACTTCAGAGAAGCTGTTGGCTCATCTTTAGGGTGTAGTAGAAAGACCACTGAATTTGGATTAAGGACCCTGGGTTCAAAGCCTGGCTTGGCCACTTAACAACTTTTGTGACCTTGGACAAATTATTCTGGGACTCTTTGAACCTCATTTGGACTTGATGATCTGTTTCTTCCAACTCAAAAGCCTATGAATCTGTAAGGTCTGAGCTTTTCTTGGAATTTCTACTTTTTGCTTTCCTTAATGTTGGAAGTAGATACTTTAGAAGGTGTTCCCAGATGCATAGCTACCATTTCATCTTCTAGGAAAACATCTAGTATGTTATGTGCACATGCATGGAAGAGAGTATTAGACTGTTCTGTTTGACCCCAGAAGGAAGAATGAGGAAGAATGTTCGGGTGGGAGCTGAAGAGAAGCAGATTCCAATGCATCCTAAGAACTTTGTAACAAATAGAGAGTTCTCCAGCAGTGAGATGGGCTATCTCATAAGGTAGTAAATTCCCCCTCATTCTAAGGGGATGTCTAGGTTCTAGTGACTGATCATGGTCTAATTATTTATGCAGAGGTGATGTAACTGATCCCAGTCATAGTAGCTTAGAGTTGAGAGGTTGCCTTTCAGATTCCTGTGTGAAGAATAAAATTATTAGCCTCTGCAGAGAATTGTCCATGACAGAAAACCTATTACTGTATTCCATTTCTATTGTTGGGCAGCCCTGTCCACCTTCAGGGATTTTGTAGGAGAGATTCGTACTACAAGTAAAAGTCAGACTGCATATATTGACAGAGATTCCTATTTATGTAGCGCTTAAAGATTTACTGCACTTCCTGTGAGTTTGATAGTAATTTTGCCCATTTTACAGATGAGGGAGTTGAGGTTCAGAGGAGATCATTTGTCTGCTGACTCCAAGCCTAGAATTCTGCTTTGTGTTGCCTCTCACGACAGCTCAAAGGGTCTTTGAGGTCCCATTCAATTTGGAAATTCTATGCTTTACAAAGAGGGGCAAAAATGGATTGCAGCCTTCAGTGTCCTGGTGTTCCCTGTCTAGCACAGAAGAAGCAAAGACAGATAACTACAGTGCTATGCATAATGTATCAAATCCCCTAAGAATTTAGAGAGGGGAGGAATTGCCTACTCTGGTTCAATAGAAGCCTGACAAAATGCTGTTGTCCTGACTGGTTTGTAACTGCCCCAGGCACTGCACTGTAGTCAGGTTGGCAGATGAGTCAACCAGAAACACATTTAAGCTCTTTCATTCCATATATTAATAAGCTGATTGACTAGAGAGTATAATTAATTTTTGTCAGCTGCCCTACTTGATTATAGAATCACGTACTCAGAGAAGAACAAAGCTCTATACTATACCTTAGAGAATGCTACTAATAAATGCGTTTTCTCCCTGCCTCCCCTCAGTAATGTGCTTAAAAGCTCCCTAATATGAGGTGCTGAGTTAACAGAAACAGTCCCTGGTCAGTTTCCAGGAGTTGATGATCATATTGCTTCTCCAAGTGGGATAGTGAGAGATGTGAGGGGATCAGAATTGTTAAGCACATAGGCATGCTTCCCTATGGAAATTCCCTGAAAATGGATTGACTTGTTACTGAATACTGGTGTCTCATTTGGCAAGAGTCAGAAGCAAGCTCAGACTTTTGAGAGCAAACAGGTTCTCTGGAAACAAATAACCTTCAGATACTCAGAACCCATTCTCTCCAGGATGATGATGATGAGCATGTCAGCTTGATTGTGAGAGGAGTATTGGGCCAAGGTCAGGGGATGCTCAGATGGTCTTCCCCAGAGGGAAGGAGGGAGCATGGGATAGTAGGATGAAGTAGGTATCAGGAGATATGGGTTCTATCCCAGCTGTGCCCTTTCTGTTTTTGTATTCTTGGGCTTGATTCAAGCCAAAAATTAAACAGTTTGCTGAATTATCTCTCGATCTCAGTAGAGAAACTCTTAGAACATTAGAGCTAGAAGGGACTTTAGAAATCATCTGCTCTAATCCCCACATTTTACAGATAAAGAAATGGAGGCCCAGAGAGAGGGAAGTTACTTACCTGAGGTTACACAGATTCAGGATCACAATCTAGTTTTCCTGACCTTCATCTAGTGTTTTACTTAAAATATCATGTTGTCTCTGTCACTTAGGTTGTCTAGTGACCTGGGTGTGCAGCAGGCCAGATGTTTGGCTTGTTAGGACAAAGGTCAAGTCCACAGTATTTAGTCAAAGCAAGAGGGAGCAGGCACTGTGTACCTAGGCCAGATGGAGGGTTGAATTCTGATTATGTAGAAGACATTTAGAAACTAGAAGGCCATAGGTCACAGACCCAAGTAAAGGATCCTGAAACAGAAAGCCATTAAATCATACGATTTAGCATCAGAAGGAACTTTCAAGATCATCTGGTCTTAACTCCCTTATTCTACAGAAGAAGAAACTGAATCCTTGAGAGGTTTGATGACTTCTCCAAGATCATACAGGTAGCAGAACTGGTTGTAGGCTTATCATAGGAGCAGAGGTTTAGGTCTAGAAGGGATTTGAGAAGCTCTCTAGCCCATCTCTTTATTTTATAGATGAGGAATTGAGGCCCAGAGAGGTTAAGTGATATGTAGTGAGTAGCAGACATGGGATGCAATCCAAGTACTCTGACTCAGAATTCAGTGCTACTCCTCTTGGTGATAAATTCCTTGGAGCCCAGGATAATCAAACAGACTACCCATCCTAGTTGGTTCTGGTAGTCAAAGCCCCTTCTCAAGTCTCCATGTTTATCTCCCCTTACTCTAAGTAGCCTTACTGTACCCACCATTCACTCTGGATTTTCTGGACTTTGAATTATAGTTCAGTCACCTGTTTTGCTCCGTCCTGCACCTAGTGCTGTATTCTCCTCTAGCTGGCCATTATATTATATCTTATTTTGCCTAACACTATGCTTTCTTGGGAAAAATTAAGAATATCTGGGGATTTTAGTAGACTATATAATCTCCATATCAAGAGTGTGACAGAGTAACTAAATAAAGCTATTTTGATCCTAGGATGGGTTGATATAGGCATGTTGCCCAAATCAAGGGAGTTGATAGACTTACTGTTCCATGTCCTACTTTAAACATGTCTGTAAGAAGATTGTGTTTTTTTCCTGAACATGACATTTTAAGTACATTAACAACTTGGAGTGAGTCCAGAGGAAGGTGATCAGGCTGGTGAGAGACCTAAGGACCATATTATATGAGGACTGATTAAAGGACTGATACTGTTTAGTTTGAAGAAGAAAAAGAAGAGAAAACTTAGAGGGAATGTGATAACTATCTTCAGGTCTTTGAAGGGCTGCCATGTAGAAGAAGCCATAATCTTCTTCTGTTTGGCTCCATAGGGAGAAACTGAAAGTAGTGGGTGGAAAATGCCAAGAAGCAGATTTAGGCCTAATGAAGGGAAAGTCTCTTTATAGTGAGAGCTGCCTAAAAGTAGAATAGGCTGACCTGAAGATCCCCCATCCTCAAAAAACCCTCCCTTGATCCTCCCATCCTGTCTAGCTATTGATTACCCCATATCTCACCTCCCTTTTGTGACTAAACTTGAGAAAGCCATCCACATCTACAGTAGGTTTCACACCTTCCTTTCTTCTCATTTTCTTAACTCTGTAGTTTGGCTTCCAACCTCATCATCCAGCTAATCTCTCCAGAGTTACTAACAGCCTCTTAATTGCTAGATATAATGACCTTTTCTCAATCTTTATCCTTCTTAATTTCTCTTTAGACTCTGACACTGTCTTGCCATCCTCTTTTCCTTGATATTCTCTTCTCAGATCTACCTCTCCTGCCCTTCCTTTCAGCTGACCTCCTCTGTCACATCTCCATCTGCCTATTGGGCATCTTGAACTCAGCATGTCTAAAACTGAACTCACTGCCTTTCCCCTCAAAACCCTTCCCTCTTCCTAACTTCCTTATTACTGTCAGGGGTATCACCATCTTCCCAGTTACCCAGGCTCACAACCTAGGGGTCATTCTCAACTTCTCACTTTTTCTCACCCTTCATATCCAGTTGGTTGTTAAGTATTGTCAGTTTTACCTCCCTAGCATCTCTTTTGTGTGTCCCCTTCCTTCCTGTCACACTGCCCCCTCCCTAATGCACCCCCTCATCACCTCATGCCTGGTTTGCCTGCCACCAGTCTCTGACCGTGTCGGCCCCCCTACTCAGTCAACTCCAGTGACCTCCTGTCACTTTTAAGATCAAAGATAAAATCTGCTGTTTAGATTTTAAAGCCCTTTGTAACTTCTCCCCCTCTGCCCTCTGCTTTGTTCAGGATTTATTACATCTTCACACTCACCCACCCACTCCAGGCACATACAGGTACTCTGTGATCCAGTGACCCTGGCTTCTTTGCTTTTCCCAGAATTCTCTCCCTGTTCATGTCTACCTCCTGGTTTCCTTGGTTTCCTTCAAGTCCCATCTGAAATCTCATCTTCTGTGGAAAGACTGTCCCGGTCTCTGTTGACACTAGGGCTGATCCTGTACACAGCTTGTTTGGATGTTGTTTGCATATTGTCTTCCACATTAGTCTGTAAGCTCCTTGAGAGCAGGGACTGCCTTGCTTTCGCTGTATCCCCAGTGCTGCTATAGTGCCTGGAATATAGTAGGCACTTGATAAATGTTTATTGATTGACTACTGACTGACACAATTTAGGCCTGGATGAGGGAATTTCGAGATCATTTAGTCCACCCCAGTTCCACTACAGTCTGCCCATTTGTGATTTTTTTTTCATTCTTTTTCCAACAACAGTGACAGAAAAGACTTATGAAAGTGAATCCTGCACAGACAGTGAAGAAGAGTTTAAGGTGAAGACAACTTCCTTACAGAGACCGCCCTCAATGGCTGTGAAGAAGGAGCCCAAGGAGGATCGAAGGGGCCTCAAGAAGGGGGCAGCCGCTCCTGGTAAAGCCAACAGGCAGGTGTCCATTACGGGCTTCTTCCAGAAGAAATAAACAACCTCTTCCTATGGAGAAGCAGACCCTCCCATCCCATGTGTTCACAAGGAGCATCAATTCTTGCTTGCTTACCGTGTAAGTGAGTACCTTTAGCTCCTCAATGCAGACTAAAGGGCGCCTCCTAGAAGCAAAGGACAAGTGGACGTTGCAAAAGCTGTTTGCTTCTGATGACATTCTTATTCTTTTTAAAGCACAGCTTTCGTGCTATCTGAGCTGCTCTCCGTCAGTAGAGACAGGTGACAGATTTGTTCAAGAAGTCCTTTAATGGCTCTTGTATCCTGGCCCTCCTCCCCCTACCCTCCTGCCCCATTTGTGTTCATGTTAATACCTGTCTTTGTATTCTTCCTACTTGTTTGGGCCATCCCCTTGAATTTCACTAGATGAATTCTCTCTCCTTCCCAGGTCCTTCTCCTCTTCCACTCTCCTCTGCCTCATCACCTTTCCTCAACCCCCAAAAGAAAGAAGCAGTTTTCTTTTTGCCTTGAAATCCTGATTGGCCTAACTAAGCCTTGTAACAAAAGTCTCCCTGTCATCCTCTTTTCTCCATTATAAAGTACCCTGGTACCTGGCCCCAGACCAGGAGACAGCCGACTTGTGCTGGGTCCTCTTCACAAAAGCCCTCTAAGACCTCTGCCCACTGCCCGTGGTTTGGGAAAGGCCCCAGGCAGAGCTCACAAAGACATTTTATGGTTGCATTTGACTCTACAAGAAGGCAGTTAAAGTGAACGTTGAAGTCGTCATATTCCTCACACAGTGAGTCCTTCATACTGTGTAGGGTGGTTTTCAGTTTTTCTCTTCTTCCTCCTCTCTTGACACCTGGAAAGTGCCACCCAGCTAAGGAGGAGGCTTACTGTGAACAACAGATATTGAGGATGAAAAACTTTTGTTCTTCTGAAGGAAATGCAACCTCAGTACAACTCCCTGGGGAGCTACCCTAAGCTGGGGAAGGTTCTAAGCACAGAGACACACATGTCCCACTGGACCTTTATTTGACACTGTGTATTTGCCCAGGAATACAGGGTGCACAAGGAGGCAGCTGAAAGGAGAAAAGTACATACACGAGTCAAAAAAGCAAGGGAACATTTTTAACTTGTTCTTTTGAGGGGAAAATCCTTTAAAACAATCATTAAATCATTTATTATAATTGTGTGTGTATTTTTTTTAAGTGATTTATCTTAAGGCTGTTGGAGTGATCTGAATGGATTCAACCAAGCATGGCAATTGCTAACAATAAGCTTTAGTGAGACGTGTACATGGTGCTGGCAAGGCAGTCTTCCCTATCTTGAGCAACAGACGAAGGACTTGAGATGTCTGACTTGCCGCTTACGTCCTGAAAGGGATCATTACGGTGGCTGAGGTAGTAGGCAGTGTAATCAGCTGTCTGCTGTTTAAGGTTAGGGTTATAACTGACCCCAGGCTTCATAATGAGCTTCATTAATAACCGACACCCAGGGCTTTCCAGCCAAAGTAGCCCCTAAGGGCACTATTAAGACCAGAGGTTTTCAGGGTGAGTTTTGGCATTATGTATAAGGACATTAGTATATTGAGGCCTGTGTAGCAAGCTGAGTAAAGGTTGGCTTTTCCCATAACTGTTTCTTAATGGGAATGGGGCCTTTGTTCAGAAAGTATGGGAAACCTGGACTCTTGAACGAGCCTTTACAAAGACCCTACCTCTGAAGAGAGAAGCCTGTTGAGGTGTTTATTTTTATTATTAGTGCTGACAGTTTATTCTAAACAGTAACATTGAATTAAAAACCACCAACAGCAATCTAAATCATTTGAACATTGTACTGGGATCATTGAAAAAGCGGATCCCTGAATTAGAGAAACTGTACTCTGTTAGGGGTTCTGTCTTGCCAGGATAACACAAATCCTGTGATCTCTGTTACATGCTCAATGAGCTCCCTAAATATTGAGCTGTCTGCAAAGCTTCCCCTTGTAAAAACAGCTTAGCAAGTAATCTTAGTGTGTTGTGTCTTTTTTTTTTAAGGCAACTGTGCCATGTTATTCATACAAGTTTGATAAATTTGAGAGGTTGTTTTTTAAAAAATGATTTAAGCTGAGTTGTCTAATGTGTTCTTTAATTTGACAGGACAGCAGCAATGTGTGCAGTTATTTAAACTCTTAACAGGAGGCAGACTTGTTTTCAGTTTATAAAGGTTAAAACTGTACACCCTGCGGTCTGAGAGACAAGCTATTTGCCGCCTCCGTCATTTTTTGTGGCTCTGCTGGATGCCTCTTCGTTCCAACTAGCATCATTTTTAGTTCATTTAGGACGACATTCTCTTTGCAGTCATGTCCTCAGACATTGTGTTAGCCCTGCCTGGAGTGTGTCCAAGGTCACTGGCTGGTTGCTGCATTGTTTTAAAGCACCATACTGGCTGTTCATCTAGAAATCTAAAGATTGGTTAAATAGGGAAAATTTTTTGGCTGCTTTCTTTAAGTCAACAAGTATTTAATGAGCACTTATACTTTTTAGAGTACTGTGCTTGGTATTAGGGAAGAAAGCAAGTGTAGAAAAGACTTGGACCCCTGCTATCATGGGTCTCATAGAGGATATAACCCATTTGTGTCACACAAATGTTGAATACAAAATTGTCCTTGAGAAATACATGAACAACGTTATGATCAGAGAGAGAGAAAAAAAGGTCATTCCTAGCCACAGGGAATCATGGAAGGCTTCCTGCAAAAGATAATGTTTGAGTTAAGGTTTTTAAAGGATGAGAAAAATTTAACAGGTAAAGAGAAGGCATTTCAGGCTTAGTGACCATCATGAGTAAAGGCAGAAAAGCAGCAAAATACAAAGTGGTTTTGGCTGGAGGAAAGACCATCTGGAAGAGGGGAGTTAGTATTTGATTCAACACATTAAAGGCCTTCTGCATTCAAGGTTCCATGCTAGTTGCTAGGATGAGTTAAGATTGGACCAGTGGAGCTGTGCTGAATTGTGAAGGACCCTGAAAGTGAGACAAAGCAATGAGGGGTGGTTATAGAGCTTCTTTGAAGAAACAGTGGGGAATGCCATAGCCAGATCTATCCTTTGGGAAGGTTAGCCTGGCACCCATGGAAAGCTGTGACTTAATTGAAAGAATATTGGATTTGGAGTCAGAAACATGGGCTTTTCCTGGTTCTGCTACTGACTTGCTCTATGACCTTGAGCAAATAATTTTGCTTGTCTGTAGGCTTCTGTCTGCTCACGTGTAAAATTAGGGAGCTAGACTGGATAAAGGTCCCTTTTAGCTTTCCAGTCTATAATCCTATAAAGGAACGTTTTCTAATCCTATAAAGGAACATATTGATTTCAGATTGGAGGGACTGTAGTGGACTTGGGAAGAAGCTTCAGCACTATTATAATTGATTTCCTTTGTGATCATTTGTATTTTATTTTGAGATGAGCAGTCCATAAGTTTTACCAGACTGCCAAAGGGACCAGTCACACACAAAAAACCTTAAAATCCTTGGTTTAAGAGGAAAGATAATCCTAGTTTTGATGACACAAAGTTTGAGGGACCAACGAGACACCCAAGTGCTAGGTATGTCCAGCGTACATTTGAGAATTTTTCTTATTTCAAGAAAGGGAAGAAAAAGTTCTACCCATTGGTAGAATGTAATAGAACGTGTTCTTCTCCATGGCTGTTCAAATTTTCATTGATCTAAATTGGACCTTGCATGTGTTGTTCATTTTCTCTGTTGATGGCTTTGGTCATCCCTTCCACCTGGCCCCCTTCTCTGGAGATCATTTAAGTGAGTTTGTGTCCTGAATACACGTAAATATTGATGAATAACAGATATTCTAGAAAAGCTATTGTCTACACAGTGCATGTTAATAAATTAAAAGGTGTATCATATGTAGGGAAAATGAAAGTTTTACTGAAGTTAAATGAAAGTTTTACAACTTATCTACTTTCATTTTTATCCCAGCAATCAGCCTAGAAGATTGTAGTGTTTTTGTTGACTTTTCCATTAACATGGCCAATTTTTCTAGTGAAATAAATCATAGTAGCATTAACCACAGCTCGTATTTCAACAGCACTTTCCTGCTTATAAACTGCTTTCTTCAGAATAACCCAATGAAGTAAAGGTAGTAAAAGTATTATGGGCTCCATTTTGTGGATGAGGAAAATGAAGCCCAGAAAAATGAAATGACTTGCCTGAAGCCACTTAGCTAAGTAAGTCTTGATGGAGTAGTGACTGGGCCCAGATCTTTTGATTTCAGATTGGCTCTTCATTCCATTATACTACACCTCTTTAAAAGGGACCTGATATAGTGTCTTTCTTGAAACGACCTTGTAGGGTAGGGAGTAAAAATATTTCCCCCCACTTTTCACAGATGAAGGATGGTGAGGGTCATAGAGGTGTTCAGTCAGTCTGAGGTCTCAGAGCCAGATCAAACCCAGATCTCTGTCCTCATGCTCTTTCCACTCTTTTGCTGGTATTCCTCTCTTTAGTGACATGAGCTCCCTGCACAAGGCACAAAGAATTGTGTTCTTCCCTGGGAATCTTCATTCCTCCAGCAGGGGCATTCGTTATCGCACAGGACAGTGCTGAACAGAAGGGCCATATAAGGAAGCTAAATAGTTTCTTCAGGACCTGGGCAGAATGAGTGCATGGTATTGTGTTTGCCAGAAATGCACTCTGTCAGGACTCGTTTGGGTAAACTTGTCTCCTTTCATTGGTTACGGGATCTGTGGATGCTGTAATAGAGTTTTTACCACCATGGAACAGAGTGAGGCTGCCTCGGTGTGTTGTGAGAAGTAGTACTGCTTTCTGAGTTACTGCCCTGACCGTACCCTGGAGGCCCTATAAATTAGTTAGGGCTGTCACCATGCCCTCTCTGAAGGGCACATTGTACCCAAACTGTCTGTATTTAGGGTTGGATCTTGTTGCTCTCTGGTAAATGGCACTGCCTTTCGTTTGTATCTGTGTCCAGTTTCTGATGTTCTATGTGGGCCACCCACAGACTGCCTGCCGTGGTCCTTAGCCAGAGAAACTTGGTAAGGCTTCTGACCTCCTACTTTTCTCGTCTGGTAATCCCACCTTGACCCTACAATTTCTCTTCCATTCCAGGTCTCAAATGCTGTCAGACTTCTTATGTTTTCTCCCACCCACTCCTTGCTTGTCTCTTCATTTTTTGAAATATTACTCTTTTATCCCAAGAGCTTTTTATGGATAGTCCTCCTCTAACTTTTCTTCCCCTTTCTGTGTTCATTGGAACATTCTAGACTTTGGAATTGGTGTGAGTAAAGTCAGGGAGGACAGATAGTTTATGTAGCCAGGGTTAGGGTAGGGTACTTTGGAGAGAGTGGGGTTTGTGTGAGGGAGAGCAATCCAGTCTAGCCTTTCCATTTTTATGAAACATTTACTACGTGTGACACATTGCTAGGCTGTGAGATATAAAAGTCAATAAAAATCTGTCCCTACCCTCAAGAAGCTTGCATTCTGCTGGGTGGGTGAGATGGGAATAGGTATGTCTATGTGATGGCGTGAAGAAGAGGGAGGAGGTGCTAACAACGTCTAAGGAGATGCAGAAAGGCTTCCTCTAGTCTAGGTGATGGTACAGGGAGCTGAACTTTGAAGGAAGCTAGGCATTTTAAGAGGAGGTGATAGAGTAGATTCCAGGCATGAGGGGTGCATTGTGGGAAGCACACAGGGAGTAGGAGCCGCAATGATGAGTCTGGGGAACAGCAAGTTGGACTGGAAAATAAAGTGCCATAAGCCTGGAAAAGCAGGAGAGCTTTGTAGTTTGTCCTAGAGGCCGTAGGGGGCTGCTAGAGATTTCTGAGCAGCGGAGTGATGCAGACAGGCAGGTAGCAGGAAGGTTATTTTGGCAATTGTGTGGAGGACAGATTAGATAGGGAGACCCTGACAGCTAAGAGCTAGCAGTCTAGGTTAGGAGCCTTTGCGGTCTTCTAGGCAGGAGCTGATGAAGGCTTGAACCAGGAGGCGTCCATGTTAGTATAGAGAAAGGGACAAGTGTGAGGATGTTATAATAGTAGGGCTGGCAAGGATTGGCAAATGATGGAGGGAGAGGGAAGATTTGAAGATGACTGTGAGGCTCAGATCTGGGTGGCTGGAAGGAATATGGCACCCTCAAAGAGAAATTAGAAAGTTAAAATGAGGGGTGCAAAAAGATGATAAGTTCAGTTT